GCCGAGCCGCGCACTCCCCACCGCCGCGAGCGGGAGCACGTGGCGTCGGGCGCTCTCGTCTCCTCTCGTCTCCTCTCTTTTGGTCCGCACCGCCGCGAGCCAGAGCATGCAGTTTGACGTGCGGTTCAGGTCGGTGACGAGGCGGTACATGAGGACGGCGGAGGCGGCGGCGCGCCACGAGGAGGCGTAGTACTGCACCTGCAGCCGCCGCACCGCGTGGAACTGCGACGCCCTCGAGTCGGGCGACAGCTGCGCGTACGCGGACGGGTCGAGCCGCCGCCGCTGCGTCGGCCGGCCGTCCTCCTCGTCCTCGTCCTCCTCGTCTTGGAAGTCTGGGTCGTTGAGGATGTGCTCCTGCTCGACGAGCGCGTCGAGATCCTCGTTCGGCTCGTCATCGTGGAGCACGCACAGCCTCTCACCACACGTCGCCTGCCCAGCAGGCGGCGGGCCGGTCAGGGCGGAGCAGCTGGGTGGGGCGGCGGGGCGGCGGGGCGGCGGGTCACATTCTCAACAGCGACAGGTCGGTGCGAGTCCAAAATCCAAAAGCGGCACTCAGGGTGCGGCGTCTCATCGAAGGAGCGCGGCCCGCCCGCCCGCTCCGCATCCATCTCCGCCAGCCTGCCGCCGAGCATGTCAAACAGGTCGACAATCGCTCCGCACTGCAGCAGCACAATGTTGCGCAGCTCTGCATCGTCCACGATGTCGTTCTCGAAGACCTCGCCGAGTGCGCCTGCAGAGGCGGCGCGCGCGGTGAGGACGCGCCGACGCCACACCGTGGCACGCGTGTCGCGGCGTGCACCGTAGTCCTTAATCGGCTTCACCTTGTGCGGTATCTCGTCCTGCTCGAGCAGCTTCTGCGAGGGATGGGGCCGGGCGGCGGTGGGCGGCGTGCGGGTGCGGCGGTGCCGCGATGGCTCGTAGACAGGCGGCCGGGCGAACCAAGCGTGCCGAGCGTACCGTCAGCATCGCGCACGTGACAACCCCATCGGCCTCAAGCGAGACGAGGATGAGCACCGTGACGGCGGCGGGGCTCGCGGCAGAGCATTCCCTGATCCGCTGGTACAGCTGCGCCACATCGTCACGCCTGTACAGCATCGTGGGCGCAGCGCCCCGTGCCGCCCCGTGCCGCCAGCGCCCCCCGACTAGCAGACGGTGTCCTTCTTCGCGCCTCGCTCGCGTCGCACCCAACGGTAATCTTACAGGGGGACCTCGCGGGTGTGAGGCAGCCAGAATAGCGGGGGCGAGCCAAACCGCAAGCTCTTTTCCACAGCAGGCAGGAAGTACCTCGCAGTACCCGCTGGCTGCGATCCGCCGCCCGTGCCGCGTGCGTGCGTGAGAGAGAGAGAGAGCGCGCGCGCCGCGCACGCAGGCAGGACCGTGCGTGGGGGGCAGACAGGGGGTCGCCTGAGGCTGAGCTCACCTCGATCGGTCGATCGTCTCCCCGCGCCCCCGGCCCCGCGGGAGGCCGTGCATTGGCGCGTATTGAGCTCTGTCGTATGCGTCGATTGTGCCGGCCCACCTACCTGCGCGCTCCGTGGTTGACACCTCTTGACTCTTGAGCTTGTTTGTACGTGTACCCGCGTGAGTATCTTTTCCCAGAAATGCTTGCTTGCTCTGGATGTATCTTGTATGCGAGTGTACCACACCTCAGCTTGCCACATGCTGGATGTCCTCCACCTCGGGCTCCGATGGCGTGAAGCGTCAACACAGCATACACGACACAGGCCTCCTCGACGATGAGCTCCCCCGCGCGGCGCATAAGCTAGTCGCAGAGCAGCCCCCGCACACACAACACGTACTAGCAGCGAATAACGCGCGATTCGTTAGCAGGGGGGGAGCGGGCCCATGGGGTCTTCAGTGGCTCGGTCTACTAGTTTTCAGGCTCAGCTCCGGACTCATTAGATAATGTCGTTATCATAGCCGGTCTCCTGTCGACGGCTTTGCACATAGTCCTGACCGGGCTTTGCACACAGAGGTTTTGACTTGGTTGCGTCACTCAACACCAGATCGCGCGATGCCGCATTCTTGAAGAACGAGAGGAGAAGATCGCAACCGTTCTTGATCTTCTTGCCAAACTCGCCTGCTTGCGGGCCAAAGGTTTCGCCGCACTGCTTGGCTGCTGCACTTCCCTTTGTGTTCAGGCACACATCGACCTTATCGAGGAAATCGTCGAACCCCATCCGTCACGACCCGCGGCGGGCGCGCGGCGAACTACCTCCTTCCCCCCGAAAAGAATTTGCGAACGCGTGCTCCTGACAGCCTGTCCTCCCATCCCTCCCTTGGGTTGTCCGTTTTCTTTCTTTCTTTCTTTAGCAGACAGGCTCGACACAGGCGCGGACTGGCACGTGCTGGTTCAGCAAAATACAGTCCGACACGCACAGGTCCGTCACAAGTGCCAAAAGATCGCGACTCTCTTTCTTCTTCTACTCTTTTATTTCTTCTTTATCTTGTTCCGCGTCTCCGTCCCCAGATGTAGCATGTAACAGTGCCTGGACGCTGGAGTATACTCAATCAAACAAAGAGAACCTGTAAGGAGTCCACCTGGGTAAGAGCTATATACATACACTGAAGAAGACAGTGCGGTGTTGTCACAGGGTGAGACTGGCCAGATCCCCCTTTGTGCTTTTTGATGATCCAGTACGAGCAGCACCTATCATCATGCATGAGGATCCACATACATACATATCATGAGAGGAGCGGACCCGACAATTGTCTATGCATATGCTCGTGCTGCCCTCGAGTGCTGCCCGCGGCTCGCTGCACATAGTGTGTGTGTGCCCGCTCCTCCAAGCTCCACGAGTCAGCAACCGAGCGGTCTCGGCGCGCCGTTCTCCTTTCTCTGTGTCCTTAGCTTGCTAAGGACTCTGTTCCGTCTCAGCTCTCGCTACTTGTTCTCGGCCGAAGTGTGTCGTCATCGTCGTCATCATCATCGTCGTCGTCGTCGTCGTCGTCGTCGCTCCCACGAAGAAGTGCGACAAGAGCACTCTCCTCCTCCTCCTCCTCCTCGCTATCCCCGCCCTCGCCGCCTTTCTCCTCGACGCCGCCCTCATCGCCGCTGCCGCCGCCTTCACCGCCGCCCTCTCTTCCTCCGCCGCCGCGCCGGGCCTGCGCGCGGCGCGCTGCCTGCACGCAAGGGCGCGTCTCGGTCGATCTCGACTCATCTCAGCCAGCCCCGGCTAATCTCGCCCGATCTCGGGCCCTGATCTCGGCCCGATCTCGGGCTGATCTCGGCCCGATCTCGGCCAATCTCCCGCCTGATCGCGAGTCACAGATGCGTGGCAGGGCGTGCAGAGCGTGCGCAAGTTGCCGAGGCCGCAGCAGCCCCCCCCATCGTGCACCGCCACCACATGGTCCGCCTCGTCGCAGGTCAGGGGTGTGAGCGGCGCCTCTCACCGCTTCCTGGTTCGCGACGGTCCTTATGCTCCGCTCGACGTGTGCGACTCTCGGCGAATCTCGACGAATCGCGAATCTCAACGAATCTCGGCACTCGTGCCCCGGTCGACGAAATGCAGCTCCCGGCCGATCTCGACGAGCCTGATCGATCTCGACGGTATCTCGGCTACATCCCAGCTAACTCCCCTTCGCCTGCCAGAACGAGCCCTCGCGCACGCGCACCCTCCGCTTGCCAGAGAGCTTCGCGTGCCTGGAAAGAGGTCGCGCCATGTGCAGCGAGACGAGCCGAGGGGAGCCGAGAGGAGCCGAGGGGAGCCGAGAGGAGCCGAGAGGAGCAGAGAGGAGCCGAGAGGAGCAGAGAGGAGCCGAGAGGAGCCGAGGGGAGCAGAGAGGAGCAGAGAGGAGCCGAGGGGAGCCGAGAGGAGCAGAGACGAGCCGAGGGGAGCCGAGGGGAGCCGAGGGGAGCAGAGAGGAGCAGAGAGGAGCCGAGGGGAGCCGAGGGGAGCCGAGGGGAGCCGAGGGGAGCCGAGGGGAGCCGAGGGGAGCCGAGGGGAGCCGAGGGGAGCCGAGGGGAGCCGAGGGGAGCCGAGGGGAGCCGAGGGGAGCCGAGGGGAGCCGAGGGGAGCCGAGGGGAGCCGAGGGGAGCCGAGGGGAGCCGAGGGGAGCCGAGGGGAGCCGAGGGGAGCCGAGGGGAGCCGAGGGGAGCCGAGGGGAGCAGAGAGGAGCCGAGGGGAGCCGAGGGGAGCAGAGAGGAGCCGAGGGGAGCCGAGGGGAGCCGAGGGGAGCCGAGGGGAGCCGAGGGGAGCGTGCGCCTAGGAGAAGGACGCAGCCGCGAGATGAGCACGAGATGTTCCATCCCTGACGCGCGTGAAGAGAGGGAGAGAGAGAGAGAGAGAGAGGGGGGGAGGGAGGGAGGGAGGGAGGGAGAGGGGAGAGAGGGAGAGGGAGAGAGAGGGACAGAGGGGGGGAGAGGGAGAGTTGCCTCCCAAACGGCCCGTTAGCGACGCTGCTCTGCAGCGCCTCCGCCGCCGCCTCCACCTGCAGGAGTGAAGAGACGCCCTTCACACCTCCGAGCCAGAGAGGGTCGAGAGGGGAAAGAAAACAGCCGCGATCGCCTCGCCGCCCTGCCCCGCCGCCTTTGCCTCCGCCGCCGCTGCACGCACCGCCCGCCCCGCCGCCGTATACGCCGCGCCTGCTTACAAGCGCGATCCGGCGTGTGAAAGAGGCGCCGTTCACAGGTATCACCTTTAGAGCGGATCCCACAACCAAAGCCAACGAGAGGGGAGGCCGACCGCGGCCGATCTCGGCCGACCTCGGCTACAGATCCCGGCTACAGATCTCGGCTAATCTCGCGCCACAGTCGACGCCGCACAGCGCGCACCTCCGCCCGTCTCGCAGGGCGAGTGCCTTCCGCACGTGCGGGCCCGAGGTCCGCAGGAGGTGGAAGTGGACGCACCTGCTCTCAGCCCAGCTCTGTGACATCTCCTCGCTCTCTCGGCGGCACGAGAAAGCGGACGCGCCTGCCCGCAGCCAACGCCGTGAACGGCGGCTCTTCACGGACTGAACAGCGGCAGGGCGGGAGTGAACACGCGCTCGTCGCAGCAGAAGGTCTTTTTCGGCGGTCGGATTGCACCGCCGCACAGCCGGCACCTGCCCGAGATACAGCCGAGATGCAGCCGAGATACAGCCGAGATGCAGCCGAGATACAGCCGAGACTGCACACAGAGTTTGGCACCCGTCCACGGCAGCGCGCACGTGTCCCGACCGCTCGCCGTCGAAGCGCGGGCGGAGAGCCACCGTCTGTTCACAGCTTCAACTGTGAACGTCGGCCCTGTTCACAGTTCGGTGCCTAAGTTCGGGCGGCGGCACCGCCCCGGCATCGTCGCTCGCCGCGACGCCGTACCGCTCCTCGCTCACCGCGGCGGCGCGGCGGGCTCGCAGCAGGCGAAGCGCCAGCGCCGGCTTGGCTCCTCCTCCGGGTCGGAGACCGAAGGCGAGGAGAGCGGCGCGCAGCTCGGTGGCAGAGGTGCCGGAGGCGAGCTCAGCCGCAGCGGCAGCCTCACCGTCCTCTGCGCGAGTGGACGAGGCAGAGGCGTCGCCCGCGCGGCGGCGCCAACTGCGACCGCCGCCTCTGCGCCGCCTCCGCTTTGCGACGGGTCTGCGCTCGGCCGCAGTCTCGGCGGCGGCGACAGAAGCGGATGGCGAGTCTGCGGACGGCACGTCCTGCTCGCCTCGCTGCTCGTCGTCGCTTGAGAGCAGGGAGATGGTGACAGTGCCCGAGGAGGAGGCCGCCATCTGAGGACGAGGACGACGAGAGAGGCCGCGCGGATGAGGAAAAGAATTTAAACACAACTCTCTCTCACAGCACACACCTGCGGGCAAGGCCAAGGCGATGGCGGCGCGCGACGGGATCGGCTTCTGCCCGGCCTTCAACCAGACCGCCCTCCCGTGCAAGACCGCCGCTCGCTGCCGCTACGCGCCGTGCGTCAACTTCGAGGCGCTCCTCCACTCCGCCTTCAAGGACACTATCTACGAGCGCATGCCGAGCGCGGTCAGGCTGGGCACAAGCCGCGGGCGGCGCGGGCGCGGCGGCCGCGGCCGCGGCGGCGGCGGCGGCGAGGTCAAGAGCAACAAGAAGGACTGGGCGAGCGTCGCCCGCGGAGCCGCCCGCTCCCCCTACGACGGCGGCCCACTCCTCGAGTCCAACGAGCCCTCGCTATACGGGGGGAGCGACGAGGAGCTCTAGGAACGGCCGCCGAGCCCTTCCCGCAGCGCAACCCTAGCAGCGCAGCGGGCAGGGCGGCTCGCGCAGCGCGCGCGCGCGATCGCGCAAGCGGCGCGCGAGAGCGAGCGAGCGAGCACACACACACACACACACACACACACACACACACACACACACACACACACACACACACACACACACACACACACACACACATGTTGTACACATGCACAGACACACAGCCCCTTCCCCTTCAAGGGCGAGGACACGCGCAGGGGTCGCACTTCTAGCGAGGCCCACAGAGTGGGAGACTCCTATCACCGCCACTGCCACCCACGTGTCAGTCTGCCTGTGGTAGAAGAGACTGCCGGTGAGAAGTCGGAGGAAGGTCGCTAGTCGAGAGAGATCGCCAGTGGATAGGGAGTCCACCGTGCTGCGAGCCTGTCGCTGTCCCTTGTCAGGAGCAGGAGAACTAGGAGAGCGCAACCAGTAGGAGGCCCGCGCTTGCCCCCGTGCCGCCGGGTGCAACCTGTCCTATACGAGAGAGGAATCCCTGGGAGAGCGAGTGACGGATAAACTCGTGTGAAAGAGCTGTGAAAGCGAAAGTAGCGAAATTAATTGCCCGCCGCAGGCGAAGAAAATTTCAGGGTTTTTGGTCCCCTACGCCAAAGAAATCGAAGATTTCGGCGGGCGCCCGACGCGGTATGGAGCACGCGCGCTGCCCGGCATGCCTGCAGCATCCAAACGAGACGCACGGCGTCGCTCAGCCGTGTCCACGCGGCTTCGTTCCTGTCCTAACCGGCGCCATCTGGGCGGCTGCTGCGGAGCTGCTGCCGGCGGTGCGGCAACTGGCCGACAGATACAACGCTCAGTCAGGGCACCCGCCGGCAATTCACTGGAAAGGAATGAAGGCGCCGCTGTCGGCGATTCACCGCCGTTCGTTCCCGTCTCTCAAGCTGGCTACACCGTCCATGGACGAGGGAGACGTCGCCTCCTCTTTCGTCCCGGGCACTGTTCGCGCCGGAAGGCACCGTACACTGCGAAGTACATTGGCCTTCATCCCTCCTACCGCCGGCCGGGAGTGCAGCCTTCGCCATCGCTGAGTGAGATTATCCTCGACTTTGGCACCTGCGAAGTAATGAACAACATGCAGTACGTCATGTGCAATGGCGCTATGACAGCCCTGCGATGGGCGTCCTCGACGCAGACGAGGCGGAGCTCATCTGCGCGGCGCAGATCGCCGACTTTCTCTCTCTCCCTGCGCGAGTGGTTGCGCCACCGTGGATGAGGCATATGGGCTGGGCAGGGGAGATGGTAGAGGAGGTTGACTGAGGGCGCGAGGCCGCCAATCGTCACAGTCTGCTGCTGACTGTCGGTCGCTGACTGGTTTGCGCATCGCGCTGGCCGCGCAGCGGCCTTTAGAAAATTTTGGCCGCAGGCCTAGGTTTTGAAAGATCAAGAGAATAAGCGCGGGTGAGGCTTTGAGAAGCTGCCGTTTGCGGCTTCCTAAGTCAACTTTTCGAGAGGAACGTTTTGGCTAAGCTAGAACTTCTCCAAAATCGCGCGATCATCGAGTTTTGAGTCAATAATTATGAAAGGAAAGGGAGAGGGAGAGTTCTAGCTTAGCCAATCGATTCAGCGTGCTCTGAAACGCCCAAAACCGTCGAGTCTTTCGCCGTGGTCCAAATAGAGAGCTTAATATTTTGATTTTCTTGGCCACGGCCACGATTACCCGTCACTCGCTCGGGACCCTGTCGTGAGGGTGAACCCTGCCCAGCCCCCCTCCGTGTCGCGATGCGCTCCCCGCTCCCGTTCCCCTGTGTCCCTGATCGTCCTTACAAGATCCTGCTCGTGCAGGTGGGGACCCTGTCCTTCTCCCACCCCTCGTTTGGCGTGTACGTTGTATTTATTTATTTATTACACACCTGTGTGGTGGCGGCGTGCCGTTCTCCCATCCCTCCCTTGGGTTGTCTGTTTTCTTTCTTTTCTTTTAGCACACAGGCTCGACTTTAGCAGGCATCGCTTGGCGTGCCCGTTTTATTTATTTATTTAGCAGCAAGCAGGCCTCGCACGACAGTGGGCACGGGATCCCATCCCTCCCTTGGGTTGTCCGTTCTTTCTTTTTACTGGGCACGGGACTGGCGTGGCAGGAAAAGAATTGGCAGGAAAAGAATTAGCGCGGTAAATAGACAAGCCGCTTGTGACCCGCTGTACACTGAGTCAGACAGAGATCACAGGAGTCAGAGACAGAGCTCAGAGAAAGGGGTTGTTGGAGTTTCACTGCTTACTGGGGGGAACAACACGAGAAGATGTGCTCCGGCGCGGGTTGTGTTTTTGCATAAACGACGAAAGCCCCGCTGCTCTCAAAAAGAAAATCCCAACCTAGAGCCATCGATCTCACCACCGTCCGCGGAGGTAGACGCCACCACATTCTCGGCCGGGTCGTACTCGAGTGTGGTCGCTCCACCGAGCTGAGGGAGTCGCCGTCGAATCCCCCCGAAGTGTAGAGCTTGCCGTCGAGCACCGCCATGCCGTGATCGGGCCGAGCAGTCGCCACTAGCACGCGCACTCTCACCCTCCTCACACCTCGTCCTTGGGCGCATTGCCCTGCGGCGGCGGCGCGTCGCCGTCGGGGGTATAGCTGTGGTTGAACGCTTGCGCCGTCTCGACCGAGCAGCCCCGGAGGAGGGAAGCGCAAGCGGTCGCGTCGCGGCCGTCGAGCGCGGCACGCTGCAGCGCGTCTGCAGCCGCGTCGACGAGCGCGGAGCAGCGAGCGCCCACCCTCGCCTCGCAGGTCGACTTGTCAAAGCCGCCGCCGCCGCCGCCGCCTCGCCGCAGCGCCGCGTCGGACCAGCGCTGCGGCTCGCCGGTGGGCTCGGGCTTGCAGGCGGCGTTCTTGAGGCCGACGCCGCTGCACATGCCGTCGACCATGTCCTCCAGCGCCGCGGCCAGGTTCTGCGCGTACTCGAGCTTGAGCCAGCGCCGGGTCTGCGCCTTTTGCACGCCGTCTATCTGCGCCTGCCTCCGCTCCGCCGCGTCTTTGGAGAGCGCGAGCTCCGCGCGCGTCGAGGAGAGGGTCATCTCCATCCGCTCGAAGACGAGGCCGCACAGCTCGCACTCCTGCGCCCGCGCCACCGCGGCCGGAGGCCTCGTCTCGCTCGCCTTTGCCTTGCGGCGCGGCGGCGGCTTCTCCTTGCCCTTGCCCTTGCCCTTGCCGCCCTTGGCCTCGGCCGCCTCCGTGGAGCCGGCCGAGCCAGCCTCCTTGGCCTCGCGCCGCTCTCGCACGAGCGAGAGCTGCAGCGCGCCGCGCAGCGCGCCGCCCTCGTGCGTGTTTAGCGTCGACGAGAGCCACTGCAGCAGCCGCGTGCGCACCTCCTCGTCGCTCCGCCCTCCGAGCCCGTCCTCGCCCGGCTCGGGCAGCGCGACCGGCGGCGCGGCGGTGCCCGCCTGACGCCTCCACAGCACCAGGCGCGAGCCCGCGCCCGAGGGAGGCGGCGGCGTGTCGACGGGCGGGTCGTTCGCCGCCACGTCGAGCTGCCCGTACCGCAGCAGCGGCCTGGCGGCCGCCGACCCGTTGGCTGCCGCGGCGAGCCGGTAGAAGAGAGCGGCGACCGGGTCGGCCGCGCCATCGGCCGGCGCGCTGCGAGGCCCCTCGTGCAGCATCACCAGCGCGTGCCCGCTCGCGCCCGCCGCGTGCACCCACCGGTTGATAGTCGATCCGACCAGCCTCGCCACGAGTCCGTCGGCGGTGGCGTTCTCTCCGGCGGCCGGCGGCGCTTCGCTGCGCAGAGACGAGGTGAAGGCGCGGGCGGACGCCTCCATCGTCTCGCTGTCGCACCCGTGGACCGCCTTGGCGCAGAAGCCGGCGTCCGCGTCGAGGATGGCGCGAGGCAGCTCGTCAATATGCGCATCGATCAGCTCGGCGCACGCGAGCGAGAGAGCCCTTGTCGCAACCAGCTCGTCGCGCTTGCACACCATGTCCATCTCCTCCTCGATCGCAGCCCGCAGCGCGACGTGGTACTCGTTTTTCAGCCACCTCTTTGTCTGCGCCTTTTGTATCTTGGTCGCCGCCTCCTCGTGCACGCGCCGGCTCACCTCGAGCGACTCCTTGGTCCGATTCAAGAGATCGCCCAGCAAGCTGGTGACGCGGGCGCACGCCGCGCACTGCGCGTGCGCGCTCGGCTTGACTGTGGCAGCGACAGCGACGAGCAGCCCAGCCGGCCCCATCGGTCGCTGACGTGGTTGCCGAGGGAAAATTACACCCCGAACCTCCAAGTGCTCCAAACCGCTGCGGGGGGCGCCGTGCGCGCTGTGCCTCTGTGTTCGTGCGTCGCCCATCTCTCTGCTCTATTTATTTATACGCTGGGCACGGGACTGGCGCGCACAGGCACTAACACAGGTAGGTACACGGGAACGAGAGAAACCTGTCACAGCATGCATGTGTCCCTCCCATCCCTTCCTTCCTTGGCTTGCTTGTCTGTTTTCTTTCTTTCTTTAAGCGATCTCACTCTCACGACAGCGTCGGTGGGAATTACATGAAGGGTAAATCCGTGCGGCGGAACTAACTAGGCGACACAGGCACCCTCCACGGCACACAAGAGACTCACTCTCTCCCCCCACTGACTGTGGTCGAAATATCTTCTCTCTCTCTCTCTGGTCGAGCGTACGAGTATCTGATAGTAAGTAAGTAAGAAGCCGCGGTGTGCCGCTTGCTTGCTTATTCAATTGGTCTCTCTCTCTCCCAATTGGTTACGCTCAATCAAAACCCTCCTTCTTTTTTGATGTTGGTTGGCGGCGTCGTCCGCCGCTGCAGCCATACGAGCACCAGCCGCGTTATGGCTTTCTTGACCCACCTCGCGTTGTAGTACTGCGCCCCCATCCACTTTCCAGCCTGCATCCTTCTTGACCCACGCCACCCGTGACCCGTCTCCGTACGCGTGGTCTTTGACCCACCCATCCTTTCCCAGTCGAGTGATCGAGCGGTCCGTCCACCTGACGGCCACGCTCCTTGCACCCCCACGACCCCCGTCAACGCCTTGTCTAGCGTGTTTCCAAACCCGTAGAGGTGGCCCACCGACGCCACGTTGCAACCATTGTCCCACGAGCCCCTCCCCGCCGTCGTCGACTTGATGAGCGGGTTCCAGCACTTGACCTCGTAATCTACGTCCCAAAACACACGTCCCGCATCGTGGCGAAATCGCGAGACGCCGAGCAGATGTCGCTCGGTCACGGACGGACGTGAGTGGTGAGAGAGATTTTAGCAATACCAAACAACTCTAACACTCACACATGCGGACAACAACATGCGGACGTGTCGTTGAGGTGTTGCGTCACTTCTTCCTCGTCCCCGAGGATGATGCTGCCGACCGAGCGCGCCCCGGATGGCATTCTGGGCGGCCTGCAGCACCCCGCTGTGCTTGGAGGTGCGGTCGCCATTGTTGAAGAAGAAGAAGAAGAACCGGGCCGAAAACAAAAAAGAGAAAATCTCACGGCGGCCCTTCTCTTCTCCCGGACAGCGAGCATAAATCAAGGCGCGGCCGCCTTTGCGCAGCAGCCTTGGCGCTCATGTCGTCCGCCTCGGTGACTCCCGCAGCCTTCCTCCGCGTGGGCGACGCCATCTTCCTCGTATCCGTCGACTCCTCCGAGGGCGAGGGCGGCTTCGTGTCGGCGCGTCGCGGCCAGCTCGGGGTCTGCAGCTCGCCGACGCCGCCCGCCTCCTTTTCGCACGAGTCCGTCTTCGTCGTCAAGCCGCAGCAGAACTATGTCGCGGCGAGGAAGCTCAAGGCCATGCTCGAGCAAGAGAACAAGACCGCCGAGCAGATGGCGGCAGACCCGGCGCTGATGGCCGCGCAGGCCGCGGTGGAGAGGGAGGAGGAGATGAACCGAGCCTCCTTCTCGCGCATCGCCGGCCGCGAGGTGCGGTACGGCCAGGTGGTGCAGCTGCACCACGCCGTGACGGACGTCCCCGTTGCCGTCGGGCGGCAGGCCGCCCTCCTCAACCGCGAGGGCCGCCGCGTGGTGGAGAGCGAGGCCGCGGGCGATGCGGCGTGGTTCCGCGTTATGCCCCGGCTGAGGATCCAGTCCGAGGGCGAGCGGGTGCGGCTCGGCGACCCGATCGTGCTTGAGCACGTGCAGACCTCGCTGCGGCTCCGCGTCGAGCGCGCCGGTCGCATGCCCGACGGGAGGCGCGAGGTGTCGGCCACGCTCGAGAAGGCGGCGCTGCGCGTGTCGCTTTACCGGCCGCACGGCGGCGCGGGCGAGGATGCGGACGCGCCGCGGCCGCTCTTTGGCGGGGAGGCGGTGCGGCTCGTGTACGAGGAGGAGGATGGCTTCCTCGCCGCCATCGCCTCCGACCTGATCCTCAAGGACCTCGGCGGCAGGCTGGTGCCCGTCGTGCAGGCGGCGGTCGCAGCCTCCGAGCAGAGGGACACGACCGTCGCCGGCGGCGGCGCGGCGACCGCGGCGCTGGTGGCGGCGGACTCGCACGACGACGCGTCGCTCGACACGATGTGGTCCTTCCTCAACGCCGACATCACTTCCGGCGCGGCGCTCCGCTGGGGCGGCCGTGTGTGGATCGCGCACGCTCCGTCGGGCAGGGCGCTCGGCGTGGCGGGTGGCGGGACGGCGGAGGAGGAGGGCATGGCGGTGGGAACCATCCAGCTCTCGCCCGACGAGCCGGCGGCGCAGCGGCGGGGCCTCTTCGAGCTGGTCCCGCTCGACGCGGCGAGCAGCGGGGCCGTCACCGCGGACTCCCTCTTCCGGCTCCGCCACGTCGACAGCGGCCGGTGGATCCACTTCGCGCGGACCGGCTCGGACGCCGGCGCGCGGGAGAAGCGGCCGAGCCTCTCCGAGATGTCGGCCAAGGTCACGCGCGCGTCCGTCGCGCGCGAGGAGGTGGAGGCGGCCGGCGCCTACACCAAGCTCCTCGTCGCCGGCGCGCTGAGCGCCACGGTGGCTAGCGTCGACGACAACGTGTTTAGCCCTTCGATACTGACCCCCTCACCGGACCAGAGTAGTATATCTTTATTTTGCCATTCAGGTGGTTAGCCTCCAGCGGGTGCCGCTCGAGCACTACTCGGACTGCCTGCGCTCGGGCGAGTGGCTCGCCGCGCTGCGCACGCCGTCGGACCCGAAGGCGCTCGGGCGGGTGGCGGGCGAGCTGATCCGTTTCGTCACCGTCTCCGACAACCCGGACCCGCTCACGCGCGAGGGGCTGCCGCACGCGGCGCGGCAACTGATCCTGCGGCAGCGGGGCGTGCTCGACCTCGTGCTCGCCGCGGCAGAGGCGCCGCTCACGGCGGCGGGCGCCGAGGGAGCGGGCTCGGAGCCCTCTGTGCCCTCCAAGGCCCAGCAGGAGCTCAGCCGCTCCGCCTCGTCGAGGGCGACAGGGGCGCTCTCCTCGTCCGTCAAGGAGATGAAGCGCGCCCTCACGCTCTGCATGGTGCTCTTCCGGCACCTCCTGCGCGGGCACGACGCGAACAAGGACTACGCGATGCGCTTCGTGCCTCGGCTGCAGCTGATGCTCGGGCTGGGCATCCGCTCGGCCGGCGCGCTCACCGAGGTCTTCCTTGAGAATGAGTCGGTGCTGAAGCTCGTCACCGACAAGCACGTCGCCAAGTTCATCTCGCTCATCCGCGAGGTGGGGCGGCAGGCTCGCTACACAAAGTTCCTCACGGTGCTCTGCCAGTGCGGCGGCCTCCCCATCCGGGTCAACCAGTGGCGCATCTGCAAGATGCTCGTGCACGAGGCGGCCGAGCTTCGCCCCTCCCCCCCCCCACCCCACCACCACCACCATCACCCCACGTCCACGTGTGCCGCTCCGAAGCCGAGGCATTGCAGCCCACCCGCCGCGCCCTGCCGCCGCCGCCGCAGGCGCCCGAGCTCCTCACGTCGCTCAAGCTCGAGGCGGGGCGCGTCCTCGTGTCGGGCGACCGGCAGTACTTCCCCGTCCTCGGCCAGGTGGGAGGGTCGATGGAGCTCGTCGAGTGGCTGGTGTGTGCGCCGCCTCGCCCCCCCCCCCCCCCCCCCCGCAGGAGGGGCACACGCTGACGAGCCTCTGCCCATGCTGCGCCGCTGCTCCGGCGCAGGCGCACTGCCCCTGCGACGACACCGTCGGCTATTTCGAGTCTTGCCTCGGCCTCTTTGCCGCGCTGGCAGAGGGCCGCAACCTGCGCAACGCGCCCGCCCTGTCGGCTCGCCTGCCCTACCCGCTCCTCGAAGCGATGGCCAAGGACGAGCGGCTGCGCGCCGTGCAGAGGGGCGGCAAGCCGCTCGGCCTCGCCGTCGCCGCGCGGGCCACCGCCATCCTGCGCTCGCTGTACGTCGACGCCGAGCCGCACCAGTTCATGGCGCGCGTCAAGCACGTGCGCATCTGGGAGAAGGTGCCCGAGGCAGCGCAGGCGGGCGCTCTCTCCTCGCGCCTCACTACGAAGGTCGACATCTCTTGGGACCAGTTCAACCCGCTCAAGGCCTTCATCGCGCGCCACATCGGGCGGTACTTCAAGATGGACGCGGCCGCGTACGGCGAGAACCGGCTCGTGCTCGAGCTGCTCCGGACGCTGCACGCGCTGCTCAAGCTCGGCTTCTACTTCTCTTCGGAGCTCGCGCCGCTCCTCCCCACGCTCCTCGGGCTGCTCGACGGGCGCGACGACACGGTCGGGCCGCAGGACAAGGGCAGCTCGGGGAAGCGGTACAGGCGCAAGGTTACGATCCATGTCGACACCGTCGCGATCATGGACTGCAAGCTCGAGGTGTGCCGCATCCTGCAGCTGCTGTGCGACGTCCGGCTCGACCTCCGCCTCTCGCGGCTGCTCGCGCTCTACCACGACGAGTTCGCCGCCGGGCTGTGGGAGCCGTCGGGCGAGCAGCCGCACGAGCAGCCGCGCGACTCGCTCGGGGGGACGCGGGGCAAGCTGCAAGCCATCGGCGCGACGATGCGCGCGCTCGTGGTCCGCGACGACGACGGCGCCGGCTCCGGCTACGCCCGTCTGGAGGAGGGGGAGGGCGGCCGCAGCAGCCTGGCCGAGCGGACGATGGCCGTGATCGGCGCGCAAGACGCAGCCCGCTCGCGCGAGGCCGCGTTCAAGAAGCTGTTCGAGCTGCTCGGCTTCGGGGCGACCGAGATGCTCGTCGGCGTGCTGATGGACCTCACCTTCTACGAGCACCCGCAGCTCGTCTCCGCCGCGCTCGGCCTGCTCGTCCGCCAGTTTGAGCAGCGCCAGAAGCTGCTCTCGACGACGCTGCACTCGCAGCTGCTCGTCAAGCCGCTGATGGTCAGCACCTACTCCACCTTCGACGAGCTGCTGCGCCGGCTCTCGCAGCTCGCCTCGCGGCGCAAGCTCTACGACGACGAGCTCTTCGAGACGGCCTGCCTGCTCGGCAAGCTCGTCGCCCACTGCTCGGAGGAGTCCAATTCGGACGGCGCCGAGCTGCGCTCGGCCGGGGGCTTCTCGCGCACGCGCACAGCGCGCTCCCGCGCCGGCACCACGCGCACGGCGTCCTCTCGCACCGACCACACCGAAGGCAAGTACCTCATCCTCATCGGGAAGGGCTACACCGCGGTTGGCTCCGACGCTGTCCGGATCGAGCTGGCCGACCACAGGCCGCCGCGCCCCGGCGAGCGGCTGCAGCTCGAGAAGGAGATGTACTCGGTCAAGACGGTGAGCCCGCCGACGGACGGCGTGGTCGAGGTGGCGCTCGACCGGCCGCTCAAAGTGGTCGGCGCTCTCGCGCCCGAGCTGCAGATCGGCGGCTCCGGCGAGGTATGGGTGATGCTGCTCTGCCAATCGGCGGGATACAACCTCGACATGCAAGTCCTGCTGCGCACCATGGGCGCGCACGAGGCGGTGCTCCAGCTGCTCCGGCTGCCCGTCTCGTCGGCGCCGCTGCCGAGCGAGCTGCGCACGCGCGCGGTGCTGCGCGCCGTCTACCGCACCATCAAGGCTCTCGTGACGGGCTTCCCGCAGATGCAGTCCGACCTCGTCCCCGCCATCCCCAGGATGGTGGAGCACGTCGAGAAGGACCTCGTCGCGTACGACGTCACGCCGACCGGCTGCGTCACCGCCATCCTGCGCGACAACCGGGCGGCGTGCGCGCGAGTGCCGTTCTCCGCCATCCACAAGTTTGTGCAGCTGGCCGCCAAGAAGCAGGCGCCGCGCTTCCTCCGATTCCTCGGCGAGATCTGCCGGCCGGCAGGCGTGGCCATCAAGCGCAACTGCCAGCTGGTGGCTCAGGCGCTCGGCTCAAAGGAGGAGGCGCTGCTGCTCTTCAACTCGACGGAGGGGATGGAGGAGCGCGCGGCACTGATTGCCGCGCGCGACCTCGAGACCAACCCGCGCGGCAAGCTCGCCTACCACATCGAGGCGGTCGGGCTGCTCGGCACGCTGGTCACGGGCATCAACAACCCCAATATCGAGCAGATGGTGCGCGAGACTCTGCCGATGGACGACGTCGTGGCCAACTTGCTGCTCCCCGACCTGCCGACGCCGCTGGTGGTCAGCTACCTGCGCCTCCTCGACGAGGCCTACCTCGTCACCGCCAAGCCACTCGTCAACGACCTCGCCACGCGCGACTTTATGGAGCTGCTCTCCGCGCTGCAGGCGCGGATCGCCGCCTTCGTGAGTCGCATCGAGGCCGCGGACGACCTCGACGCGCTCGCCCTCGACGCGGACTCGGAGGAAGCGGCGGCCGAGGCGGAGGAGACGGACCTTCTGCTCGGGCACGTCTTCCCCCTGCTCACGCACTTCTTTGCACCGCCGAGAGACGCCATGGAGGACAGCGACGAGGCGGAGACGCAGGGCGTCGGCGGGCTCTCCGCCTCGGTCCTGCTCCTGCTTGCCGGGTACGAAGACGGGCGCGACGAGCCGTTCCTCGCCGTCTGCCGCGCGCTCGGCGAGACCACCGCCTCCTTCCGCGCGCTGGAGTGCGCCGCCGTCCTCTCCGACCCCGTGCCTGTGGTCGACTGCCTGCGCGCTCTCGCGAGCGGCGGCTTCGCCACCCTCGGCGACGCCGACCTCGGCACCGCGTCCAGCCAAGGAGGCGGGCTCTCGACGATCGGCGTCACGGTCACTCTGACGGCCGACAAGGAGGAGGCCCACCCGCAGGCGGAGCTGCCGCGCTTCGCGGCGGTTTTCGAGACGGCGGTCGCCGCCGGATCCGAGTTCAATGCGCTGGTGCGGATCTTCTCCGACGGCTTGGACGCGGCTCACGAGCACGAGCTACAGCAGCAGCGCCGCGGCAAGAAGGCCTGTGATCTGCCCCCTGCGGCCCATTACGCGCGCAGCCTGCTCGACCAGCTGCTGGCCGCGGCGGCGGCTCCGGCGCATCCCGTCGACCGCGGCCTGACGGTCGCCTCGCTCAAGGTGCTGGTGCGGCTTCTCGACATCGGCCGCGTTGGCAGCAGCGCCAACGAGGGCTTCGTCGACGCGGACCACAACAAGGTGAATGACGCCGACGAGGCTCTTCTCCGGCGGCGGCAGAAGCAGCTCACAGAGCAGGGCGCCGCACGCGTGGCGTTGATGATGGGCGCGTGCGCCGACGACGAGTATTGCCGGCTCGGTTTGCAGCTGGGCATCGAGCTGCTGCGCGGCGGCAACTCGCTCGTGCAGCAGGAGATGTACCACGTGCTCAAGGCGGGCGACGCGCGCGCCTTCGATGGCTCGGGCAGCAGCTGGATGCCGGCGGTCAAGGCGCGGTTGCGACGGGGCATCAAGGAGATCGACGAGCGGAAGATGTACCTCGCGCTGCAGGCCGAGCGGCGGGCGATGCTGCCCGAGCTCACGGCCGGCCTGACGGCGGCGGCGGCGCTCGCCGTGACCAACGACGTCGAGGCGCCGTTCCAGACGCAGGCGTTTGTCGCGGAGGCGCTCGAGATGCTCTCGCTGCTCTGCGAGGGGCACAACGTCCAGATGCAGGACTACCTGCGCGACCCGCGCGAGGGGCAGGACTCGGCGGTGGAGGCCGTCGACCTGGTGATCGAGGTGCACGACCTGCTCGTGCAGCTCGAGCCGTCCCTCGACGAGTCTAACGTCGAGCAGGCCATCCTCTGCATCGACTGCCTGACCGAGTTTGTGCAGGGCAACACCTCGCTCGGCAACATGGCCTCCCTCATCGAGTCCAAGGCCTCCGACGCGATGGAGCGGCTCGTCTGTCGGCAGCGCTTCGAGGGCGTCCCCGCCGACGCGGTCTCGCGGCTGCGCACCTCCGTCTCGACTTGGTTCCTCGCGATGCTCGAGGGCGAGGGCACCGTGGCGGAGGAGCGCTTCCTCCGCACGCTCGACCTCGAGCGACTCTCCGCCGTCGCAGCCACGGCGTACATGGCGGGGAGCACCGCGCCCTCTGCGGCAGCCGGCGACGCCGACGACGACGCCGAGTCGCGCGAACGGGCGATGGCGGCAGGCTACTCGCTGAGCACCCTGATCAAGCACCTGCACGACTACGAGGAGCACGCGGCGTTTGTCCCGCGGGCGGGCAGCCATGGGGGCTCTGTGGTGACGTCGCGCTCGCTCGGGGCCTTTGACGCCGAGGGCGATGCGGTGACTGCCGCAGCCAAGCGGGCAATGGCCGGCGCCATCGGGAGGTGCGAGATCGTGGGCGCTTCGGGGAAGTTGGAGCGCGTCTACTTCCGCGTGCCCGAGTTTTGCAACTCGCTCACGCGCGAGTCCAAGGACGAGCTGCTCTGGAACGTCGACCGCGAGACGCCCGGCCGTCAGATCCAGGAGCTCTTCGCGCGCTCGCAGGACCTCGAGTTTGAGATGAGGCACCAGCACTCGCTCTCGCGGCTTCCGTTCTGGTCTATTGTGACCGACAACCGCAGCGTGTTCGACTTCCTCGTCCTCCGCCTCGCCTTCATCCAGAACGCCATCATCCTGATCCGCTTCTCACTCGACCCTCAGCACGCTACGCCTGCCGACGCAGCCGGCGCGGACGAGTCCGACGCCGTGGAGCGAACCCTCAGCGAGTTGGATCTCGCGGGCCCGGGGCTCAACGCAACCGACGGCGAGGCCGCGCATCCACCGTCGCCGCTCGCTGCCTACCTGGTCATCGTCGCGGTCACGCTCTTCGCCGCCGTCGCGCCCGTGCTGCTCGCCTGGCGCGACACCAGCCGCTCCCCACGGGACAAGGCCCGGGTCACGGCATCTGCCGCGGCCGTCGCCGCCGTCATCGGCGGTGCAGGCAACTACCTCGTCGAGCACTGGGAATGGTTCAGCGAGCTGTACGCGTGGGCGCTCACCCTCTCCCCCGTCGAGGCGCTCGAGCTCGTCGAGCGGGCGGGGCTGCAGCTCATCGAGCGCCTCGGCTCGCCCGAGTGGATTGAGGCGGAGGGCCAGATCAACCATGTGCTCGGCGGGTTGCAGTGCCTCTCCTGCGTCGTCGTCTTCTCCATCTACGCGGTGCAGAATGGCCCCATTCGCGCGCGGCGCGGGCTGATGGACGCCTCGGGCCTGCCGTACGAGGAGGTGGTGGCGCGGCCAGAGTGGCGACTCTTCTCGCTGGTTATGGGGCCCGTCTACGCGCTGACGGACCCGAAGCTAGTACTCCTCGCCGCCATGTTCGGGGCGGCGTACCTCGGCATCAACCACTCGCCGCTCTGGTTCTCGGTGCACCTGCTCGACATCGTCAACAAGTCGGCCGACCTGCAAAACGTGCTGCGGGCAGTGACAGAGAACGGGCGCTCGATTGCCATGACCGCGCTCTTTGGCGCAATCATAATCTACCTGTTCGCCGTGGTCGGCTTTGCGGTCGAGAGGGACATCTTTGTGCTCGGCAACTTCCCCGACGAGGACCTGCCCATGTGCACGAACCTCTTCAACTGCTTCCTGAACGCGCTCAACGAAGGACTGCGCTCGGGCGACATCGGCTCTTTCATGGACCCGCCCGTGCCGGGCGACCACCGCGGCTTCGCCTTCCGCTTCGTGTACCAGCTCTCCTTCTGGGCCATCGTCATCACCGTCCTGCTCAACGTCATCTTTGGCATCATCATCGACACCTTTGCCGAGCTGCGCGCATCGCACCAGGCCACCAAGGCAAACATGGAGAACAACTGCTTCATGTGCGCCCCCCACGCGGCCGCGCGCGAGCCCCCTCGCCCGCCCGCGCCGCTGATCCCCAGCCTCCTCCCACCCCCTCTCAGCTGCGGCCTCGACCGCTTCACGCTCGACTCCAAGGGGCCCGGCTTCGAAGAGCACGTCGCCGAGGATCACAACCTCTGGACGTACATCTTCCTCATGTGCTACCTGCGCAGCAAGGACCCGACCATGCTCAACGGGTGGGAGCAGTACGTCCTCCGCCTCATGCGCGACGAGGACGCCTCGTTCTTCCCAAGTCAAAACGCCCTACGACTCGCCGGCGGCGGCGGCGGCGGCGGCGAGGACAGTGGCGGCGGCGGCGGAGGCGGCGGCGGCGGCGGCTCGGGGATCGGCCCTGAAGACCTCAAGGCGCTGTCTGACGGCCTCGTCGCGCAGCTCGGCGTGCCCCTGAGCCGTGGCGGCGTGTTTGCGCCCGCACCTGCGGCGGCACCGGCGCCAACGCCGCCGGTGACGTCGCCGTTAGGGACGAAGCTCAGGTCGCGGCCCACCCCTCCGCCGGCGGTGGCGGTGCCGCAGTCGCCGATGGCGCCGCAGTCGCCGCAGGGACCGCGGGCGGCGCGGGCGGCGCAAGCGCCGCAGACGGCGCAGGCGCCGATGTCGCCCGTGGCCCCACCCGAGCCATCATCTACACCGGTTCGCCAACCCGAGGCGCCGCCGGCGCCAGCCGCTCCCCTGGACGCTCCCGTCCCGCCCGCCGTCCCCGCCCGCGGACGCGGCCGAGCCTCCCGACCCAGCCCGCGCATCAACGTCTACCCCTTCCGCCGCACCCACGGGCAGATCTGAGCGCGCTCACACGACAGAGAGACCGCCGCGCGCTGCCAGAGAAAACTAGGTGTGGTGTGCTGGTGGTGGCGCGCGCGTGAAAGGCGGCGCGGAAACATGTGCATGTATTTTATAGGAGCCACGGGGAAAAGGACATATGACATGGGTTATACGTTATATAATCAACACACACGGCTTCATATTAATTATAAACCCGTAAAGCCGACGACATCGGACAAATATTCAAATTTAAGCCGCGGAGCTCTGAGAACTAGATCAGAGTGTAATCAACAAAGAGCCGTAGTCATTACATAAACAGAAGGCCATCTAGCAAGACAGCCAATATGGCGCCTGCCCTTGCTAAGGCATAGCGTTGCTGGTCCAGATGAGATCACGGTCGTGCCCGCATCCAGTCCCCTTCGTACAGTCAGACTTCAGCTCCTGCTTGGAGCAGAGTCGCGCGCCGGCGTCCGCGCAAACTTCCTCCGCCTCGGACAGCGTCTCTTCGTGGTGGCAGCCGCCCATGCCGTCGTCAGACTCCGTCCACGGACAGTTGCTGCCGCGTTTCTTCCAGCCGTCAATGCGGGTGTCAGAGCAGCAGCGCACCTCGTGCTCCTCGGAGGGATCCGCCCAGCGCGCGTTCTCAGAGCACTTGTTCTTCCTCCCGCATTCGACCCAGTGCCGTTGCGCCGCGGGCGGGGAAGGCGGTGACGGTGATGGCAGCGGCGGTGGGATGGACGCTAGCGGCGGTGGCGGCGCCACGCGAGAGCCGCAGTCGGTGCAGTCGCTGCCGTATGGGCAGATGCTGTATATGCTTCCCTCGCCCCCATCGTCGCATTCCGCATCGTCCAGATGGGGGCAAGTGCTGCTGTCATCGTTGCAGACCATCTGTGTCGGGGGCAGAGGCGGTGGGGCGGGCGGCCGCGGTGGTTTGGTAAGGGGCGACGGCGAAGTAGCCGGAGGCGGTGAAGGCGGTGGTGGTGAGGTGGAGGATGGCGGCGGTGATGGCGGCTGCGGCGAGGGCGAGGCGGAGGGTGGTGGCGGCGAGGACGTCGAAGGGGGCCTGGGCGTCAATAGCTTGTCGCGAGTGGGCACGTCGTATGGCACGCGGTCGTCCTGGCTACCGCCGGGCCAATAGCCGTAGATGCGGCCCGGGTAGTTGAACGGGGCTCGCGACTCGGCGTTGGCGGAGCAGGTCTCGACGTCGTAGCCGCCATCAGGTCTGTGGCAGTTCGGGTTCTCGATACCAGAGGGGCTGGTGCAGTCGTCCCAGTACCCGTCGGGGTGCGGCACCGGCCGAGGGCCGACCGCGTTGACCTCGACATCGCACTCGGCCGGCTTGACGCGCGGCTTTTGGTACACGGCGATCGGCACGTAGCCATACTCGAAGCCGGTGGGCGGCGTAAGCAGCAGGGCAGGGTCAATCGACACCTTCTCCGCGGGCAGCGCTGCGTCGCCCTGCGGTGGCGAGAACCACCCTCCGGTGCTGTCGGCCTCCTGCTGGCGATGCAGCCTCTCGATTCTCGCTTGCATGTAGTCGCGAGCCGCCTGGCGAGTCCCATCGTCGGGGAGCGACTCGAAGACCATATAGAGCTCCGGCTGATCGACAAATCTGTACCAGCGCCAGCCAATCCAAGCCTTGCTCGCGGTGAAGGTGCAGTACATCGTGTCACTGGCCGGCTTGTCAAAGCACGCCTGCTCTGTCTCGGCGGGCGGTCCGAGGAAGGTCCCTTCGTTCATCTTGGTCGGTTGAAAGGCCGCCTCATCGAACTGCGCCTTGACCTCGGGCGGCACGGCATCGGCCGAGATGACGACCGGAGGGTCCGAGTTGCCCAAGCCTCCCTGAAGGAACGCCGCCGCCTCGCACCGCCGCTGGTCGCACGACAGGGCCGCATTCGAAGGGTCGAGCGAGAGCGTCGACGCGCAGTGTGCCGCCTCTGACTTTGTCTGATCGTAGGCGCTGCCAATGCCGAAGCCGCTCCAAGTGACCTCCGAGTCCTCTTGATCGTCCCAAACCGACATTCCGCCCTCGCCCTCGGGCGGCGCATTGCAGTCGGGCCTTGTTCGCGACTCAGCAGACCGCTGCTGAACAAAGGTGTGCGTCCGCTCGCCGACCGGGCCCGTTCCACTCAACATGGGCTCGAGAGCATCCACCGCCCAGTCGGTGGCGAACTGCGAGTGGCCGGTGAAGAGCGTGGAGGTGTTAGGGGATGAGCTCGGCCCGAAGCGGTCGCGTGGCATCGACCATCGAGTGGTGCGCCAGTACTGCGAGCCACCTTGCCGCGCTGTGAAGGCACCGATGGAGCCCTCAAAACCTTGGGCCACGTACCCGATGTTGACTCGCGGATCAGACCACGAGATAGATTTTGGATGCCAGTTGATTCGGCTGTCCCAGAACCAGGCCGCAGTGTACATCACTGGCCCGGCAAAGTTGGCCGCGTCGATGACAATGGTCCAGTAGTTCGCGGCGTCGGTGGCAGATCGCTTGCCCAAAGGTGACTTGGTGAGCATGTAACCAAAGAAGCCGTCTGTGTCGTCGCCGCCTGCAAACGTGACGAAATCATTGGGGACCAGGAGCCGGTTGCTCACTCTGACTGCGCCGCCGAGTACCGTGCAGGGCTGGGGCCGGTCGTTCAAGAAGGTGCCGCCAAATACCTCGTAATTTGCGTTCGTAGCGCCTGGCAACATCCACTTGACGTGAGGGGTCTCGAGCGTGTACATCCAGTACCCCATGCCTCCCTCGATGGAACCTCGCACGCCACCCTTTGAGTCCTCTCCGCACTCCCAGAAGGCACAGCTCTCGGTAGCTTCATAGTCGGTCGGATGTCCGCAGTTTGCGAGCGTCGGGTCTTCGCGGATAGGATCCTGGCAGCCACCACTGATCGGTGCCGGGTCGCCAGTGACTGGGTCGCTGCACGTCCCCGTCGACTCGCATGCCTCGCATGGGTCGCAGACGAAGCCGCCCGGGTGGAGCCCGCAGACCTCGAGGATGTCCTCCGAGTGGCCACCAGGCTTGGACCACTGACCCCATCCGATCTCCATGCTCGGCTGTTCGCGTAGCAGGTTGAATGCGCGGATATAGTAGGACCAGCCGCGGAGGCCGCCGGCGTCGTACGACCACTCTGCGGGAGCGTGGCCTCCGCCCATGTGAAGACGAGAGTGCTCGACAGATGACATGAGGAATCGAGCTGCGCTCTAATAAGTGCTCGCATTTCAGCCTAAGCGGTCTAGTGAGCATTCCATGACATCCATTGCCGCCTCAGCCTTATCAGCCTTTCTTTGCCCTTCTCCCTCAGATGCTGCAGGTTGCCGCTCGCCGGCGTGCTGACGGACGGGGGAGTGATGGGGGCGCGGGTCGTGTGTCTGTGGAGTAGCTAGCTAGCTAGCTCGCGGTGCAAGCAGGCGAATACACACAGTCAGTCTGTTGCGGGCATTAAGAAAACAGGATCTCGCGGCACGCCGCCGTTTCTAAGCCTTTCCACCCACCCCACCCACACCCCACGCCGTGGTTTTCTTAGCTTCGGCCGGCACACCCCAGGTCAGTCCGAGCCGGGATCGGGGATCGGGGAATGTTTAGGTAAAATGACAATAAGGAAGCGCTGGACCGCTCCGGATGTCGCCAGTCCGCAGTCTGCCACCCACTTGGGATGACAGGAAGACGCACACACCTCCATCCACACCGCCCAGAACACCGCAGACTTGGGGAGAGAGATTTTAGGACAAAACTCCCTCGCACAACACTGGGCACGGGACTGGCGCGCACTGGCACTAACACAGATCTTAGGAAACCAACAAGAAATCACGACTCTCTTCGACTTGTTTGGTATTGCTAAAAATCTCTCTCTCAGACTTGGGCAAATGACAAGAGCGCGCGCCGCAGGCGAAGAGAAAATTTGAGCGGGGCTCCTGTTCTCTCTCTCTTCTTCACACTCGTGTGTGTGGGCCCTTTCTTAGGGCCGCGCCTGCGGCGCGACGTTCTTTCTTAGATTTTTGCGGAAATCGCTCAGCGTGGTTTCTTAATGGTAAGGTTTCTTAATGCCCGCAACAGACTGTACTTGTAGCCCCCCGCTACCCAGTCGCAGTCGTGCGACGTAGCGGGGGGCCACGACTACGTTTACGAAAACATAAGTAGTCCCGCGAGGTGTGAATTTGGCCGCCCCAGTAGCCCCCTTTCCAATGGCTTGATTTTGCGGCGCGTCCCCTGAGCGTCCAAACTTGGATGGGCGCGAACCGTATCTCGCAACGAATCTCGCCGGCCTCACCGGCCCTCACTTTGACCGACCTACCGTCCGCTCGACTGGCCGATGAAGAGCGACCCCTACGACGCGCACTTGTCGTCCTCCCTCCTCGCCACATGACGGCCGCCCCCCGACACCGACAGTCGCGCTCCGCACGCCTTCGAGGTCAGCTGCGGCCGAGCGACGATCGGCTCGCTCCGATCGCTGGGCGCGGTCACTCTCCGGCCCATCACCCGCCTGCCGATCACCTGTCCGCCTCGCCGCGCGCGGGCCGCTCGCCTGCTCGCCACCGCCGCCGCGCTTCCCCGCGCCGCCACGCTTCCCTGCACCTGACCGCGCTGCGCAGACGGCGCGCTCTGGCAGACAGAGCAGCGGCCGCCCAGGCGGTCGCTGCTCCGCCCCGTCCGAATCCGTCCGCCCGCGCGTGCTGCTGCCGCCGCTGCCGCCGCTCCGGTGCCCGTGTGTCGTGAGAGTAATGCTTTGTGTATGGCACCCGTGTCGCATGTTACGGCTTTATGTGTGTGGACTTGTCGCACTTGAGCCTCTATGATTAGTAAGTAGACCGTCTGCGCAGCGCTCTCGGAGAGGCGCTTTGTACTCGGGTTTGGATGGTAGCGGGGGGGCCCGCCGGAGGCTGGTTACTGATTCAGCCCTCGCTCCGACGGGATTACAGCCGCGGGCGCCGCATTTCTTTTTTCCTTGTCGCAGCCCGCCCTGTGCACTGGGAACGCTAAGCCCTAGGCACGGGACTGGCGCGCACTGGCACTAGCACAGGCGTACGACACTTGGCCAGACAGCATGTCCTCGCCTGGCAGGAAGGGCATCAGGTGGGACGAGCCAAACCTGCAAGCGAACGCCGAGTACGCCGCCGCCAATCCCAAGATGAAGATTGACGAGCCAAAGACACCCTACCATTATGGCGGGCAGCCGGGGCCGGCCGGGCTCGGTTCCCCTCCAGAGCTAAGCCTCGACGGTGGAAGCCCGCGAGGCAGCGCTGGCGGCAGCGGCAGCGGCGGCGGCGCGTCGGGCGGCGCGCCGGGAGGTGACGAGGGCGGCAGTTGCGACCGCAGCAGCGCTGCTGAAGCCGCCAACGGCGAAGGAGATGGCGCCTACCACGAGAAGACGCTCACCGCGGGGATGCACGACCCTGTCGCCTTATCGGCGAGCGCGCTTGAGCGGCGGCGCGACGGAGGTGGCGCGGGCGGGAGGACGAGAGGTGCGCGGCACGCGGGCTTACGGCCCGACCATCTCACTCGTAGGCGGCGAGGAGGAGACCTCGCCGGTGGCCGGAAAGAAGCAGAAAAAGTGCGCCCGCCCGCCACACTCGTCGACCGCCCGCAGCCCCACCATTCTCGGCGCCGCGTCGCGCCCGCATGTGCGACTGTTCTGGTCGAGCCCGCGCCGCAGCCTCCGGGCGAGAGAGCGTGGCCCTCGATCCAGCCTCCTCTCCCTCTGCAGGTTCGACGAGATGCGGCGCGCGCACTATCGGACCGGCGGGCTGGCGGCGCTGCGAGCACAGGCGGAGGCCGATGACGACGAGGACGAGGACGAGTCGCAGCCGCCGCCGGCGGAGGGGTAGTGTCGCCGCACGCCTCAGGCTGTCTTGCGGGACACGAACATTGAGACGACCCTTTCAGCTTTCACTGACCCTTTCACACCACACAGAGTCGGGTCGGGTGACTGTCGGGTGACGGCGCATTAGCAGGTCCCCGGACCCCCCGCCCAGAGTGCGGTGTCTACGCGCGTCGCGGCCGGCGCTGTCGCTGTGTTACTGTTAGTGTGTGTTTGGGCGGCCCAGGGCCAGAGGGGGCGCAGGCCGCAGGGGGCGCGCCGCGCGCGGCGCCGCGGGGGCGGGCGCCGCGTGCCGGTGGCCCGGTGCTGAGCGCGCGCCGCGGTGTGCGGTTCGTTATGTGTATGTGTATGTCGTCACACTGCCTCACCCCTCACGCTGTGGGGCGTGGGGGCTGGGGGCGTCGTCGAACCGCACACATCTATCTCACACGAGCGCTCCGCACAAAATGGAAACAAATTTCATTCAACATATATGGATCACATCACAGCCATGTCGGATGTCCCACCCGCGGGAGTGCAAGCCCACCTTACGTAGGGAGAGCGAACCCACACACCCTGCGGCCTCCACCTGGGGGCTCCTGCCGCTCCCCTCGCCTCCTGTCCTCACAAAACGAAATGTCACAAGCGCGTGCTGAGTCTGGCGTCAGTCCGCAATAATATTCAGGGTCGGCCCGCCGCGAGCCCCTCCGCGACGGCCGGGGCCATGCCCATGCAGCTAGAAATTCGGCCGGCTCATCTGCTTGGTCACGTCCCTCGGAGGCGGCCGCACAGGGTCGGCGACGCCCTCGCCCTTGTTGCGGTTCGCGACAAACTCCTTGTGGGAGTAGCTGGCCTTGACGTCGTAGACGGTCCACTGCGAGTACGGGTACGTGTGCTTCATCGCCTCGTACCACCGCCGCTCCGTCACCTGCACGCCGCACTTGAAGCCGTCGAAGAGCGGCGTCCCCTCCGTCCACTGCGCCGCGAGCAGCTCGACGAGGTTCATGTGCGGCGGGACGACGAAGGAGCCGAACTTCTGGCCGCCCGCGCCAACGATCAGCATCAGCTCGCGGTGCAGGTCCTTGACCCCCGACACCTCCGGCAGCTTGAACTTTTCGCCCAGCAGCTCGACCTCCGCGCGCACCCGCTTGGCAACCTCCTCCGCCGTCGTGCCCTTGAGCACGGCCAGCGTGCCCTGATGCATCGTCGAGGACAGCTCACGCTGAGTCACCTCGGAGCGGAAGGTGTACGAGAGCGTGACCGGCTCCGCCTTGGCCTTCTCCTGCGCCAGGAGGAACTCCCGCATCGCCGCCTCCTCTGCGCGCGCTGTCTCGTCCGCCTTCCTCTCGCGCATCGCCGCCATGCTGCTGCCCTCGAGCCGCGGCGACGTCTCCTCCGCCTCAAGCTCGTCCCCGAAGGAGAGGACGCTCGAGGCGGCCTTCTTCTTCTTCTTCTTCTTGCCGCCCTCCTCCGCGCGCGCGCCGCCGCCCGCGCCTCCGTTGGCCGCGGCAGAGAGTGCGCTGGAGCCGCTCTCCAGCGCCTCGCGCTTGCGGCGGTACTCGTCCTTGGACTGCAGCCCCGTCGCAGCCTGCGCGAGCTGGCCTGCGATGTCACCCATTGTGCTGGCGACGTGTGACTGCCTGCCTGTTCGAGTGAATATCCTTGCTTGCAAAAAAGAATTTCTTCCTCGCCCCATCCCTATTCGATTTTTTTGTTTTCTTTCTCTTTTTCTTTCAGCCCCTTACGACGCCCGCCCGCACGAGCCCCAGCAACACCGCGGAGCCGGCGAGCAGCCCCATCGTCCAGAGCTGCGGCGGCGACCGATCCGTCTCCCGCGCGTCGCTACCTGTCGCGCGCGAGGCTCCCTCCACCCGCCCGCTGCTCGCCCTAGTGCTGGTCTCCTCCAGTGGCGCGAGGCGCGACAACGACGGGGATGGCGGAGCGGTTCGCGTGCGCGATGCCTGCTCGTCGTCGTCGCCGTCGCCGTCGCCGTCGCCGTCGTGTTGCTGCACTCGGTGGTGGTCTAGCTTTGCTGGCGCCAGCGAGAGGCTAAAGTGGGTGCTGTCGCCCCGGGCGAAGGACCGCCGCGCCGCTGCGTGCGGCACGTGCCGGCGCCACACGATGGGCCCCTTGCCGATGAGTCGCGGGGCAGCCGCCCCGGGGACGTGGAGAGGCAAGAACGGCGTGGCCGCCGCCGCCATATTGGACGTGCCGACAATTGCCATCAAAATATCGCCGTCCCGGATCAGCCGCACGCCGAGCACGCCCGTCGGCAGCAGCACCGAGTTGGCCAGCGCGTAGACAGCGGCCTCCGTCGCATCGCGCTCGTCCTCCACTTTGAGTCCCGCCAGACCAGGAAACCCGGCGGCGCCCAGCGACAGAGTCCACACAGCAGCAAAAGGGCAGCCGGCCCCGGCGGGATTCAGGCCCGAAGCCCAGCGGCAGACGCCACCGCCGTGCACCAAAGGGCCCTTGGCGAGTAAGGGCGCGAGGTGGTCGCAGGCCGCCTTGAACACTCCGACGTGCGGAGTCTCTTCAACGTAGTGGGAGAGGAGCAGCAGGCCGTTGTCGGTCGGGAGAAGACTGAGATTCTGCGGCACTTCCCGAGTGAAGACGTCCTTGGCGGCCTGACTCTGGCGAAGAGCGTCAGGCATCGAGATCATTGCGTCGCGAAACGCGTCGAGATTCTTCACAGAGCACGTCGCTACTCGGAAGGACTCGTTCATAGCCGCCGAGACGCCCTCGTCAGAGAGGCCCGAGGCATTGTCTGCAAACGCGTCGCGCGAGAAGATGGCGCGGCGCCAGTGGGAGTCTGGCAGCCCGAGCGAGTCGGCGGTCGCAGTCTGGCGGCAGAAGTGGCACTCGCGAACACCAGAGCGCCGCTCCAGAGTGCAGAGCCGGCATGAAGTGTCTTCGTGTCTAGACTCACGAGATGCGAGCGATGGAGGAGCGCTGACCCGGCGCCTCGGCGTTACGGGCGTTTGGGCCATCTCTCCTGCCGTGGTGGCTCGCCACCACACCACTCGTTGTTGAGAGTGCTTGGGTCGGCGTCAATCTCGGAACGCAAGTGCGTGCTAACTGGACCAACGCTTAGTTTTTTCTTTTCCGCGCCATTTACTTGCCATTTCCTTGGTCAGCCCAACTGTAAATCGACTGTCTCCTCTCTCTCTCTCTCTGTACACACTCTGTAGCGGGGCCGTACTGCATGCAGCTCCATGCGCCTCCCGACGCCTCTCCCCTGGCGCGCCATTCTCTCCATCCGCAAAGAGCACACCGTGTCGGGGCGGCGCCTCATGCCACTCTCTCGACGATCTATCCCGTGACCCAGCAGGCTCACGCCGGCTGTCGCCACGGGGCCACCGCCCACCTCGGCCGGCCTCCACTAGGGCCGCCATCCATCCTCTCATCATCCCCGCAGAGGGCCAATCATCAGCATCGTAGAGTACTCCGAGTCCTAGCCGACGGTCAAACCTCGTCGACGGCCTGGCTGTCGGGCCACTTGGAGTCCGCGCCAGGCAGCAGCGGCCAGCTGCGGCTCCTGAAGTCCAGCTTCCTCTCGCTGCACGGCGCCGGCACCAGCTGGCGCGGCGACGGGTCGAGCGAAGCCTCGCCGTCGCTGTCGCTGTCGGGCAGCGGCGTGGCGCCGCTGTTCTCCGGCAGCGGGTCCGAGCCGGACAGCTCGCTCACAGCCGCGTGGACGGCGCACTCGAACGCGTGCGCGTCAGAGTCGCGCCGCGTCCGGCGCGGCGTTGACGACAGGAAGCCCGACACGGACTTCATCAGGACGCGGCTGCGCGCCCGATCGATCCGGATCGGCCGGTCGGCGACCGGGATCGTCGGCGGCTCGTGCGCAAAGCAAAAGGCGAAGATGATCCACGAGACGCCGAGCGAGAGCAGCACGGCGCACGCGAGCTCGACGCGCTGGTTGAGCCGCGACGACTCGAGCTCGCGCAACAGCCGGAGCTCCGACTGGCGCTGCAGCTCCGCCATCCGCTCCTCCACCTCCGCCGCGTCGCTGGCCGGCGACGCCTCCGCCGCAGACGCCTGCTGCAGCAGCGAGCCGCACGCGCGGCGGAGCTCCTCCACGGTGGCGTTCATCGCAGCCTGCTCCGCCTCGACCGCGGCGACGCTCGCCTGCAGCGACGACACGTTGAGCTGCTGCGCCCGCGACGAGACGTTGAGCGCCTTGACCTTGGTCCCGATCTGGCTCTGCCACACCGTGAGCCAGTCGTGGATCAGCGACTGGTTGAGCTCGAGCTGCCGCATCTTGTTTTGCAGCACGGTGAAGATGTTGTTGGGGTCGTTGCGGTAGGCGAACGCGTCGAGGCCCTGCGGCGACACCGGCGCGCCGAGCACGCCGGCGCCCATGCCGGACGGGCCCCGTATCGGCGCCTGCGCCGCCGACGCGCCTTGCCCCACCGGCACGGCGGCCTGCGTGGCGGCGGGCAGCGGCGCCGGCGAGACGGCTGCCACCGCTGGCGGCTGGCGCAGCGGCGGCAGCGGCGCCTCGCGCGGCGCCTGGGACGGCGGCGGCGGGGCGGCCACCGCCTCGGACAGCGCGGAGAGCAGCACGGCCGGCACTGGCGGCGGCGACGGCGAGCCGGGCGCAGCGACGGGCGGAAGCGTGGCTGGCGGCTGAGCCGACAGCACGTGGTGCGGCAACGGCGGCCGCGCCCACGACGTTGGCGCATCGGGCGGCGGCTTGGGCGGCGGGAGCGTCACAGAGGCGAATCGAGTCGGAGCGGGCGGCGCCGGAGGCAGCCGCGGGGGTGCCTTTGGCCGGCTCGGCGCGACGGCGCCCTCCCTGCTGCTCGCATTGGCGGGCGATGAGCCGCCTCGCTGCTGCGTCGCGTTTGCGAGCCCCTTTGGTGTCGGGGGAGGGGTGCTCGCGCCACTCGCGGGTGGGGACGTAGCGGCATCGCTCGGCCCGCCCCCCGCCGGCGACACAGCGCCGCCTGCCTTCCCCTCCTCGGCCGCCGCCGGCTCCCTGGGAGGTGGCGCCGCCGCCCCTCCCCCGCCCGCGCCGGGAGGCACACCATCAGCGGCGCCCTTGGCGCCGTCTCCGTGCGACGCGGAGGGCGCAGGGGCACGGCCTTCCTCTCTGGTCGGAGCTGGCGGCTCTGCTGACACCGCCGGCCTGCTACCGCCCTCGGCCTGCTTGCCGCCCGTGGCGTCCCTCGCGCCGCTCGCAGCCTGGTCTCCTCCGCCGCTCGCCGCTCGCGGCTCGGAGAGAGAAGGGCTCGGCGCGGCCGCGCCTGCGTCTCCTCCGCTCGCGGCCTGCGCGTCGGCAACAGCCGGGTCTGGAGAGACACGTCCCGGGCTGGCGGGCTCGGAGGGCGCAGGCGGCTGCCGGGGCGCGGACGGCTCCGCGGCGCCCGGGCTTGGTGCGGGCGAGGCCGCCGGGGCGGCGCCGTCGGCGGGGGAGGCTGCGGCGGGGGAGGCTGCGTCGCTGGCGTCAGCGGCGCCGGGGGCAGTGTCGTTGGCGGTATCGGCGCCGCCTGTGGAAGCGGCGTTCGACGCCGCCTCTGTCGTCGCCTGCTCTGCTGCAGCCGCCTCTGCCGCTGGCGCCGCCTCTGCCGGAACCTCCTCCGAGGCGGCCGGCGCGGCGGCCGGCGGAGCGGCGGCGGCATCGGTGGGGGGGTCGGTGCTGGTGGGGTTGCCGCCGGGCTCGGCGGCGTCGATGCTGGCGGCGGCGTCCGCCGTCGACCCTGCCGCCGCCTGCGTCGCCGTCCCCTCTGCCGGCGCGTCTGCCTGCTCGTCCGCCGCTTCCGCCGCAGGTTGAGACTGTGGCAGGGCGAGGCTGGCTGCCGCCTGTTTCGCCTCCTGCAGCTGCGCATTCTCGGCGTGGAAGCGGTCGACATCCGTCTGGCCGTAGGCGCGCACGAGGGAGAGGGACCAGTAGTGCTCGTTGCCGTGGTGCGTGAGGAAGCGCATCTTGAGGAAGCGAACGTACAGCGGCTGAGGCAAGTGGAAGACCTGCTCCGCATTGGTGTCGTTGCCCTCGAACTCGCCGAGCAGCGCCCACTGCTGGCAGGGGTACATCTGCGAGCCGAGCACCTGGAAGCGGCGGACCGAGGACGAGTACAGCTCGAAGTTTGCGAGCACCACCGTGTCGAGGTGGATCTCCTGGGTGAGCGCGAGCGTGAGCCACTTCTTCTTTGTGTCTCGCTCCGTCATCGCGTACAGGTCGCGGTTCTCGGAGAGCACGTTGTGGCCGTTCTTCATCCCGTCCGAAGACGCGAGCAGCTTCGCGCCCACGTTGCCGGAGAGGTAGTTGAACCGGTCCTTTAGCGGAGTCGACGGCCGCAAGGGCGCAGGCACAGCGCCGCCCGCGCCGTCGGCGCCGCCGCCGCCGGCAGAAGAGGGCGAGGGCACCCCGGGACCTAGGGAGGAGGGCCCGCCCGCCACGCCCGCCTCCTTGTGCACGCGCGCCATGAACTCGTTGAGCGGAATGATCTCGTCCTCGATGATCGGCGGCGGCTCAGGCACAGAAGGCACCTCGGGTGCCTTTGACGAGGGCGGCTGCTCGGGTGGCGCCGCCTCCTGCACGGGAGCGGGGTCTGCCGTTCCCGGTGCGGGGAGGCCCAGGACCGAGCCGGAAGACACCGGCGCGTCCACGCTGGCGCAATCCACCGCATCCACCCACATCTCTGCCGCGCCGCAGCCGTGCGCAGGCCTGGCCTCGCTGCCGTTTTGGGCCAGCGTGGCGTGCACGACGCACTCTTCCGGCGGCGAGGCGCCGGCGGCAATCAGCCACGCGGCGTCCTCCGCGGAGCTGCCCCGGCGTAGACTCGAAGTCGCAGGCGCGAAGCAGTGCATCACGGCATCCTCGAAGGACGCGTGAGAGCGGCAGTGGCCTGTCGCGCCCTCAGCAGCAGCGGCCGAGGCGGTGGCGTCGGCGGCGTGGGTGAGGCCACCTCGCAGCTCGACTGTCTGGAGGACGGTGCCCGCGGGACAGCGCGCCCGCACAGCCAGCCCACCGGGCAGCGCCTCAAGGACCCCACACGCTGTGGCCTGCCCCTCTGAGCGCCGTACCGTCACCGGCAGCACCGCAGGCGCTGGCACCTCGGCGGCCGTGGTCTCGCCCGAGAGTCTCGCACCAGGGGCGACGGGCTCGGTGGACACACACACAAGGCCCAAGGCGGCCATGGCGATCAAGATGGACGGCGCCATAAGAGGCGCCGGCCAGCTTGGCCGCCCTGGCGTGGCGTGGCGCCTCCTGCCACGAGAGTGTGAGAGACAGCCACAGGAGAGAGAGAGAGAGTGAGTGAGTGAGAGAGAGAGAGAAGGGGGGAGGGAGATGTTGTGAGGAGGAGGAGTGTGTGTGTGTGTGTGTGTGTGTGTGTGTGTGTGTGTGTGTGTGTGTGTGTGTGTGTGTGTGTGTGTGTGTGTGTGTGTGTGTGTGTGTGTGTGTGTGTGTGTGTGTGTGTGTGTGTGTGTGTGTGTGTGTGTGTGCTCACACTGTGACCTCACACGCGATAGGGAGGATTGTGTGTGCGGTACATTTTGGGGACGTCGTTGTGCCAGCTCTTCACAGACGTTACAATCGTCGCCCGACCTAATGCGCGCGGCCGAACCGTGAGGCTGTTGGCAGGGCGCGCCGACGCTGGTTCTATGCCCAACATCCGCGTCGCCGTCAGGGTGCGCCCGATGAACAAGCGAGAGCGGGCGCGCAGCTCGAGCCCCTGCATTGTCGTCCAGGATGGCACACAGGCACGCCGCGGCGCATCCCGACCCTAGTCCCGACCGACAGCACACCTTCGTGCCTGCCACCACTTCCACCATCGCCACTCAGATTAACGTGAACGACCCGGACGACAAGATGGGCGGAATAGACTACCTGCGCCTAGACAAGAACCGCGACAAGGCGTACGCGTTTGATTTAGCATTTGACGAGAGCATCTCGCAGCAGGATGTTTACGAGAAGGCGAGCGCTACTTTACGGTGATGACACCCACCGCACTCGTGGTGACTGCCAGCGTGCTTGTGACTCCCACAGACGACGAGGCATGTCATCGATGGCGTGCTCCGTGGCACCAACGCGTGCTGCTTTGCCTACGGCGCAACGGGGTCAGGAAAAACCTACACGATGACTGGCGTGCCGGGCCAGCCTGGTGTGATTCCGTTGACGGTGGGACCAGCGAGCGAGTTTTTCACGATAGATTCCACCTAGCCCTGACCGTGCCTCCCCTTCATCAGGTGGCTGGCCTGTTTGAAGCCATCGACGCCTCTAAGACGCGAGTTGTGGTGCGGCTGCAGTACGTCGAGATCTACAATGAGGTGGTCAAGGACCTGCTCGACCCGTCAGACAAGATCACGCTGGACGTGCGGGAGGACCCGCGGCAGGGAACATTTGTCGCCGGCGCGGCGTCGTTGGTCGTCGGCTCGAGAGAAGCGGTCGAGGACATGCTAGCGAGGGGCAACCAGTTCCGCACCACGTCTGCCACCGGTTGCAACGAGGTATCATCCCGCTCGCACGCGGTGCTGCAGCTGCGGCTCGAGACGGAGAAGGAAGGTGGCGCCAAGGCGATCGGGAAGCTCGCCCTCATCGACCTTGCCGGTTCGGAGCGAGCCACAAAGACCGACAACCGGGGGCAGAGGCTGAATGAGGGAGCAAACATCAACCGGTCGTTGCTCGCGCTTGCCAACTGCATCAACGCGCTCGTGCAAGGGGGCGGTCCTGGCGCCGGCCGGGGCAGGGGGCACGCTCACGTGCCATATCGCGACTCGAAGCTGACCAGGCTGCTCAAGGACTCGCTCGGAGGGAAGAGCACCACGTGCATCATCACCAACGTCTCGCCCGCCTCGGACCAGTTTGAGGAGACGATCAACACGCTCAAGTACGCGAACCGCGCCAAGAACATCAAGACCAAGGCGATCGAGGTTCGGGTCGAGCGGGGGCCGGCGCTTGCTCCGCCAACCTTTGCACCAACCGTAAAGTACGAGCCGGCCGCAGCGGTGGAGGTGCGCGGCGTCGAGGACTTTCTGGTACGGCAGGAGAGGGCGCGCCTGCGGCAGCAGCAGGGCGGCGGCGGCGGCCTTACTCGCGCAGCAAGCGTCCCGGAGGCTAGGCGCGGCTCTGTGCCAGCGCAGGCGGGCGCGCAGCGCGGCCCGCCGCGAGTAGCAGGCCGGAAAGCGATCCGGCAGCCAGCAAGCGACGGAAGTTTGCCCGTTGCGAGAGGCAACCAGTTAGCTGGGGCTCGCGGTGACGCCGCGCGCCCGAACCCAGTCTCGACGGGGCCGTCTGATCCCAGCAGTAGCGGGAAATCAAGCTTGGGGCTCGCGGCTCAGAAGCTGCAGACCGTCATCGCCGAGAGGGTTGCGCTCGTGAGGAGAGAGGCGATCGAGGCGAAGATCGAGCAGGTGAGGAGAGAGGAGGAACAGAGGCGGATGGAGGAGAGCTTTGGAGGGTCGAAGCCAAGATTTCGGTAGAGCTAGAGGGTTTTGAGTTTTTGATAGGGAGTACAGGTCTGTACAGGTGTGAACAAGTACAGACATCTTACTCAGCACAGGGATCGCGATCGGCCGTCCGCAGCGCGATTGCTCTAGCGCATCCCAAAGTCGCAACTGAGGCGGCGCGCCTCCATGGAAAGCGACGAGGAATCGGAAGAGCTGGTGTATTACCAGCTGATTTTTGGATTCCTCACTTGCGTGCAGGCCTTCCTCTACTGGCGAATGTTCTGCGTGGCTCGGTCGGGCGATGACGAGACACAGCTCACGGCCGCCACGGCCTGCAGCAGTTTTATGGACGTAGCCAGCCTCGGACGAGTAATTTTGTTCCTAGGTTGTCACAAGTATTCCCTCGCCCTTTGGAGCTTCGCGGGGACCACCGGAGACGAGCATAATGAGCGTCCGGCAGCATGACATGCACGTCCTGGCCTGCAGAATGCAGCAAATGGGCATGCACACGATCATCGTCGCAGCCATCCATTGTATGTTCGGTGCGGCGCAACCGCTGCTACTCATGCCTTTCATGGGCCTCTGCCTCCTCGTGAGCGGCGAACCGTTGCAGGCGTGATTGAATCCTCCCTGCTCCCCACAAACTGCCGGGGGCAGCCCTCAATCGTCCCCTTGCTGCCAACCAGGTCCTGTTGCTCGGAAGGCGCGTAGTAAATTATCTCTCGGAAACACCGCCTCGCCTCGAAGCAACCGCTCCGGCTCGTTATCATAGGCCAGCCGAAGAGGAGCTGGCCCGCCCTTGGCGGATGCGTGCAGGTACCGGGTTTGGGTGGGGGAGCTTCTTATCGCGCAACAAGGCCATGCGGTCGACATCGAAAGCGGAACCTGCTGCGACGGCGTCGCCTCGGAGAAGTGGCAAGAAGAAGAGCCGAAAATGCGATTGACGTGCTGGCAGAGGTCTCTTGTGCTCCCCCTCTCTGAGCTCAGCCTATTGCGCTTGGCGCGCCCTATCGAGCGTGCCCCCTCGATGAACGGCGACACATTAGCGGGGGACACCACGCAAGGAGAGATTGCGAACGCAAGTTTGGGGTGCTAGGTGGTGGGACCAATGAGGGGCGGTGGGCGGGGTTGTGGGCACAAAATGGGCGTTTTAAAATGCTGCGTGTGTGCGCAGCGTCGAGTGAGGTGAGTGTCGTGGTGCGAATTCAAGAGACAAGACCCCCTCGTCGGTCGTCGCGCCGCGATCTCCCCACGTGCCGTCGCGGGGAGGGGGTAAAAGCCCTCGATGACTCTGTGTGGAGACAAAAAGAACCGAACCCGCACGGTCGGCACATACGGCAGTCTTGCTTCTCAGTGTCAGAATTGACCCGTACCTACCCCGCCCCCCCCCCCCCGATGCCTGATATTAGAGGGGCCATTAACACTTTCACTGTACGTAGAGGTAGACCGTATATGTGAGAGGATGGATATGTGCCGGGTCTCGTGCACAGCGTCACACGGACAGCTTCACAGACCCCACAGAGAGCGCGAAGCGAGATGCGCAGACACGCTCCCCGCAATAATCACCATGCGCGCGTCAGGTCTAGTTCCTACTCACTGCTATCTAGTAGTATTGGTATGCGCAGCAGTCAATTCGCCGAGATGCCCAGTGCAGGGGCAGTACGTCGCCCAGACTCCTCGCGATGGGCCAGATCTAGTCTCCGTGGGAGCTCAGAGCTCCTCCCTCTCCGCCCCGAAGGGACGGCTCGGAATACGCGTGTCGCGCCACCCACCGGGCCGCGCGGAGCTCACGCGAAGTGGGTCTTGACCTTGAGGCTGAGCGGCTCGCGGTACGGGCCCATGAAGTCGTGCGGCACACCCGTCTCCCACGCGTCCGTCTTCGCGCCCGTGGTTTGCTGCGCGACGAGCGAGCCGACGGCGGGCGCGAGCTTGAAGCCGTGGCCGCTGAAGCCGTTGCACGCCCAGAGGCCGGCGACGCGCGTCTCGCCGATCATCGGGTGGACGTCGTCCTGGTTGACGGTGTACATGGACGAGAAGCCGACGATCTCGCCCTCGCGCGGCAGGTTGGGCAGCCGGTGGAAGAGGCAGTTGAGGTAGTCTTGCTTGACGTCTGGGTCGAGGGAGGCGTTGTACGCGTCGGGGTCGACGATCTCCGACTCGAAGCGGTGCGCCACCGAGCCGAAGACGAGCTGGTTGTTCGCGGCGCGCGGCATAAAGTAGATGCCCGACGGCCCCCACCCGTCGGCGACAAAGGGGAGCGAGCAATACTCGTCCGGGATCCACTTGTGGCCGACTTGGATGCGTGTGGGCAGGGCCGTGGTGGAGAGCGAGAGCCCGACCGTAGAGTTGAGCTTGTTGAACCACGGCCCCGACGCGTTGACAACCGCGACGCCCGCCTCGATCAGCGAGCCGTCCGCCATCTCGACTCCGGTGCAGCGGCCGGTCGAGGGCGCCGTCACGAAGCGGTGCACGCGCTGGTTGAGCCGCACCTCGGCGCCGTCGCGGCGGCACGCGCGGAGCAGGTCCTCGAGGCAGGTGGACGAGTCGATGTGCCCGCAGCCGTGCTCGTACACGGCGGAGAAGGCGCCTCCCGCGTGCGGCGTCTCGTTGCCATCCTCGTCGAAGGTCGGGAAGGGCTCGGGGCTCATCATCGGGTAGCGCCGCCCGAGCTCCGCCTCGTCGATCTGCTCCGCCGCGACGCCGAACTTGGCGAGCCGCTGCACCATCCCCTCGTTCTGGCTGCCGTCGTACCCGAGCATCCACAGGGCGCCCGTCTCGGTGAAGGAGGCGTTGGCCTCGCCGTCGCGGAGGTAGTCGCTCCAATTCTTGTACGCGTCCATGCCTGCCGGGCCGGAGAGGCCGGTTCGGGCGTCGGGACGCGGGATCGCGCGAGGCGGCAAGCCGACGCCGGCGCCGCACCGTCGAGAGCGAAGGCCATCGTCTCGTCAAACGAATAGTAGGCGCGCTGGAAGCCGGTCGAGTAGCCGGACGAGCCGGCGCCGAGGGCGGGGGCGCGCTCGAGCACGAGCACAGACAGGTCGGGCGAGCGGCGGCGGAGCTGGTAGGCGATGTTGAGGCCCATGATGCCTACAGCAGAGCCGCGAATTCTCCTCCGGCACAAACGCGGCCAAGGCATCGCGCTTGCCCAGGGGCTCGGGCGCGCCTCCGCCGACAACGACCACGTCGGCGCGGCCGCTGACGCGCCCCGACGAGGCGGAGGAGTGGCGGCGCGCACCCGAGAGGGAGGCCGCGTGCGAGGCGGAGGCGGAGGCGGAGGCCCCCGCGACACCGTTGCGCGCCACGAGCAGCTCCGGCTGGCAGCGAGACGCCTGCGCCGTCAGAAAGGCGCGAGCGAGCAGCTCGCGGCTCGCGGAGTCGGAGAGCGCCGGCTCGCTCGCGGCGGCGGCGGCGTGGCTGGTGCGCCACTCCTCGAACCGCGCCCCGACGGGCGAGCTCGAGTCGGACTCTGCGACCAGCGGCACCGCGAGGGAGGGAGGCACGTTCAGCCTCTGCGCGAGCTCGATGAGGCGGCTCACCTTCTCGCCGACGACGTGCGCGGTGAAGGAGTAGAGGAGGGGCGGCGCCGCGGCGGAGAACGCGTCGTTGGCCCAGTACTCGATCGAGTCGACGATGACCGCGCCGGCGGACGTGATGCCTGCGCGGAACACAAAGCTAGACATCGCAAGCGGGTTCGGATCGAGATTGCGGGCCCAAGGGGCGTGTGTCGCGGGCGGCGCCTTCGGGGACAAAGGTGATGCCGAGCTCGCGCTCGGCGACGGCCTGCGCCTCCTCCGAGGCGAAGGGGAGGTTCGTGGCGCCGACGATGGCCTCGCACTGCAGCTGGCCGGCCCGCTTGGCGGTGAGGAGGCCCGAGGCGGAGCAAGGGACCTGAAGGGGGCGAGGGGGGCGAGGGCGGTCGGCAGCGTCCCTCCCCCCCTTCCTCTCCTCCCCCCTTGCAGCGAGGCACCAGCGCATCGCACGGCGTCGCCCACCACTCGCCGCCCGCGTCGAGCATCTTGCAGCCCGGCAGGACGGCGCGGGCGGCGTCCAAGTCGACCGTCAGCACCTCCGCGCCCCGCTCGACGAGGCCGAGGGCGACGGTGCGGCCGACGTTGCCGCACCCGTGCACGACGAAGCGCTTGCCGGACACCTCGCCGCCAAAGGTGGCGTCCAGCGCGCCGAGGACACCGTGCGCAGTCGCGGCGTTGGGGCAGCACGAGGGGTTGCCGACGGCCGCCAGCACGAACGGGCACCGCTCGGCGAGGTAGTCCATGTCCTCCGTGGTCGTGTTCATGTCGCATCCAGTGAACATCGCGCCGTCGAGCTCGGTGAGCATACAAGCGGCGGCGTCCATCAGCCGCTGCTTGTCGTCGCCGCTCCACGCCTCGATCGGCTGCTCCGCCGCACAGACCAGCTTGGCGCCGGAAAAGCCGGTGTTGAAGCTCGCGTGCTTGATCTCCATGCCGAGCGCCAGCTTGGAGGCCTCGGTCTCGGCCGCCGTGCCGCTCACGTACGACCAGAGCCGCATGCCGCCGTTGCCGGGGCGAGACGAGGACAGCGGCGCGGCGGCGGCGAGGTGAAGCGTCCCGAGCGCCGCCTCGTCGCTGCCCTTGACCTAACGAATGGGGGCGAGGGGCGGGCACCGGTGGGCTGACCTGGCGAATGGGGGAGGCGGGCACGGGTGGGCACGCCGCCAGAACGGGCGGCCCGCTCGCGCGTGGGCGCCTGCATCGAGAGGCGGAAAGGGGAGCGACCGGCAGCACGAGGCGGCGCGGCCTGCATCGCCTTTGTGAGCTCGCGCCGCCACTCACTGCCGACCAGGGAGGCTGCAGTCGCCATCGTGGAGCGCTGCTCGGCGCGCCACGCCCGGCCAAGCCAGGAGCGGGTGAGCGTGGCTGCCATCGGCGATGGTTCGGCAGGGCTTGGCGAACGTGCTGTGCGAAATCATATCTCGGTGCCGTTCTCCCCCTTCGGTACATGTAGTTTCCGCGCAGTTGCCGAGCCATCACCGGAAACTACAGGGGAGAACGGCACCGAGATCTGATTTCGCACCGCACGTCTTCGTGCCGAATGGCGAACCTAAAGAGAGTGGCCGAGGCGGCGGGAAAGCACGTCCCCTGGGGCGGCCAGGGCGCCGGCACCTACACGAGCTCTACCAAGGGCTGCTTTGACGTCATCGCGAGGACGCAGCCGCTGGTCAAGTCCGCGCTCGCCCGCGCTCTGGCGGCGCGAGAGTCGGCGGGAGTGGCCAACGCCGCGCCGTTCGCGATCGCCGACTTTGGCACCGCCGACGCGGGCACCAGCCTCCCGCTCATGCGCGCCATCGTCGCGTCCGTGCGCGAGGCCGAGCCCGAGGCGCCGGTGGTCGTGCACTACGAGGACCAGGCGCTCAACGACTGGCAGAGCGTGTTTCAGCTGACGAGCGGCGCGCTGCCGAGCCCGTCGGTGCCCACCTACATGGACGGCTCCATCGGCAACGTCTACGTCCTCGCCAGCGGCGCCTCCTTCTACGAGCGCTGCTTTGCGCCCAGCTCGATCGACCTCGCGTTTTGCGCGACGGCGATGCACTGGCTGACCGACGTCCCGTGCGGCGTGCCGGACGCGCTGCACTCGGCCTGCTCCGCCGACGCGGCGGCGCGCGAGGCCTTCGCCGCGCAGGCCGCCGCCGACTGGGAGGCCATCCTGCTGCAGCGCGCCGCCGAGATCAAGCCGGGCGGCCAGCTCGTGGTCGCCAACTTTGCGACCGACGGGGAGGGGCAGTACCTGGGCACGTCGAGGCGGGTGGCGCAGGCGATGCACCCGACCTTCTCCGAGCTGTGGCTCGAGGTGGCCGGCGAGGAGGTGCACCGCGCCACCAACTTCCCCAACGAGTACCGCTCGCTCGAGGCGTGCACCGCCCCGTTTGCGGCCGGCTCCGCGGTGACGGCGGCGGGGCTGCGGCTCGAGTCGGCCGAGTGCGACCTGGTCGAGTGCCCGTTCCTCAACGAGTGGAGGGCGGGCGAGGTGGCGGACGCGGCAGATCACGCCAAGCGCTTTGTGCCCACAACGCGCACCTGGTCCAACTCGACCTTTGTCTCTGGCGCGCTCGCGTGCGGCCGCTCGCCCGCAGAGGCGGCGGCGCTCGCCGACGAGATGTTTAGGGAGGCTAGCAGGGAGGAGCCGGCGAGGGAGGAGGTGGCAAGGGAGGAGGCGGCGAGGGAGGAGGCTGCCAGGGAGGAGGCGGCGAGGGAGGAGGAGGCGAAGGAGGCGGCGGCGAGGGAGGAGGCGGTAAAGGAGGGGACAGCGAGGGAGGAGACGGCTGGGCGGGCAGATAAGAATTCTTGTCTGGCAAGGCTGTTCGGCGCAACAGCGTGCGACTCAAAGCGCTGCCGGCGGGCCTCCGAGAATGGACGATCCCGACAGCAAGGAGGGCGACGCGGCCGCGCCCCCCCCTGTGCCGGCCCTGGCGACGCCGCCGGGCGGCGGGGCCGCTGGCAGCAGCAAGGCTGCCGCGGGCAGCGCGGGCGGGGGGACCTTCACCAGCTTGATTAGCCGCCTCTGGACGTCCCCCTCGCCGGTCGAGGCGCCGCGGGCGTCGAGCGGCGGCGATGCCTCTGGCTTCATCACGCAGAGCCCCCGCCGCGCGCCGGGCACGCCCGGCGCCGCTGCTGCCTCGCCGGCGGCGCCAGGGCTGACGTCGCCTGAGGGCAAGCCCCAGCCGCAGCCGCCGCCCGCCGCCGAGAAGCGCGGGCTCCTGGACATCTTTTCGCCGATGTTCACCATCTTTGGCGGCGGCGGCGGCGGCGCCGCCGCCGACCCGCCCAGGCCCGACGCTGACGCTGAGGCCGAGGCCGCAGGCGCGCCAGAGCCGGCCGACCCGCCGCCGCAGCCGCCGCCGCCGCCGCCTCCGCCGCCTGAGCAGCAGCAGGAGGAGGAGGACGAGGAGCTCGACGAGTTTGACCCGTACGTCTTCATCCGCAGCCTGCCGCCGCGCCCGCCCCCTCTGAACCGGCCGATTTGCCTGCCCAAGAAGACGCGCGGCACGTTTCCGATTTCGCTCATCCTCGACCTGGACGAGACGCTGCTTCACTCGTCCATCGTGCCCCTTCCGACGTACGACGTCGTCTTCCCGGTGCACTTCAACTCGGTCAACTACCAGGTCTACGTCCGCAAGCGGCCGCACATGGACCACTTCCTCGAGCGCGTGTCGCAGCTGTTTGAGATCATCGTCTTTACCGCCTCGCAAAAGGCGCGGACCCCCACGCCTCCGCCCCGCGCTGCGGCCGTGCGCCCGCCCACACGCACCCGGCCGGGCGCTCGCCCTGCGGCGTCCCCTCCCCGGGCGCTGGGCCGCTGACCCGAGCCGCCGCCGCCGCGCACGCAGGTTTACGCCGACCGCCTGCTGTCCATCATCGACCCGCAGCGCAAGTGGATCAAGCACCGCGTCTTCCGCGACTCGTGCGTCGTCGTCGACGGCAACTACCTGAAGGACCTGACGGTGCTCGGCCGCGACCTGACCAAGGCCGCCATCGTCGACAACTCGCCGCAGGCCTTTGGCTTCCAGCTCGACAACGGCATCCCGATCGTGAGCTGGTTTGACGACAACTCGGACACGGAGCTGCTCAAGCTGCTCCCCTTCCTCGAGAGGCTCGCCGCCGTCACGGACGACGTCCGCCCGTTGATACGGGACCAGTTCCAGTTGTACAAGCGCGTCCACGGCTCCTGATGGCGCCCAGCCTGCCCGGCTCCGCCGCCGAGCCGGTCCGGCGGGTCGCCGTTGAGCATTCCTCTGCCGCCGCGCGTCTTGCGGCCGTGAGGAGGATGGTCCGCTCGCCCCCCCTCGGGGTCCGCTCGCCCCCTCGGGGTCCGGCGCACTCGTGGACGGTGCGCCGGTGCCGCCAACGCCAACATCGCGCGGACGAGGCCGCGCAACTTGACTGCACACCTTGAAGGGACGGAAGGGGGGGTTGGGACGGCTGTATCTGGGGACGAGATCGAGAGAGATGCTGCCGCTGTTGAGTTGTCTGGAGTCTCCGTGTTATCATGCGTTGCATGGGAATGGTATCTCGTATCTGTGGGTGGCATGCCAGGGGTGTCTTTTTGGTTTCGGTTCCGCTCTTGCCTTCTATAAATAAAAAGAGCAGTCCAGGAGAGATGGGCGACGCACGAGCACAGAGTCACTTCCCTCCACCCATTTTTTTTGTGGCGCGTAAATTCTTTCCTCCCCTCTTGCATTTTTTGGCGCCATGGCGTGCGAGGCGGCGCCCAATGCCTTCGCCGGCGAGGAATCCGACTGTCCCGAGATCGGCGCCGGCTGGAAGGTCATCAAGAGGCGCCGCGCCTCTGGAACGCGCAACAACCAGGCACGCATCTCATAGGCCGCCTCAACTAGGAACTGAGCTGTGCAAGACGGCGACAGCCCCGCCGCCGCCGCCACCGCAGGTGGACTGCACGTACGTGTCTCCGACGCTGCGCAAATTCAGGTCGATGAAGCAGGCACGCGAGTCGATGCTGCCTCCCGCCGTCACCGACAGCATCCGCAGCGAAGCGCCGCCGCCGCAAAATGGCGGCACGCTGCCGCCGGGCTGGGAAAGGTGTGGGGAGCGCTCGTATCGTGGGCCTGCGGGCGAGTGCGCGTGCAGCATCTCGCAGGCGTGGCGAGTGAACGACAACTTCCCCGGCGGCCGCGACTCGAGTTGCAGCGTCTCGCCAGCCGAGGCTGTGCGAGGGAAACTTGCTGAGGTCAGGGGAATTTACATTAGGCGACGAAGATTCCGAGCCGGCCTTCGTCCCCGCCGCTGCTGCCGGCGGCGAAGCAGCGGGCGTCAAGGAAGATGCCGCTGGCGGCACCGCCGCCGCCGCCGGCGCGCAACACAGCCTCCCCCCCAGCGAGCTGCCGCCGGGTTGGTCGCGCAAGATCAACGAGGGGAAGAAGCGGTCGTACCCGACCTACCACGGTCCCGACGGGGAGCGGACCGAGTCGATCCGGCAGGCGTGGGCCGTTCACGGCGGCGAACCGCCCGCCAAGAAGCGCAGCGGCGCCCGGCCGGCGGCTCGAGAGCGCCGGCCGGGCGGCAGCGAGGCGTGGGACGAAGCCACCGCCGCCGCAGCAGCGAGGCTTGCGGTCGAGGCGTTGCCGCCGAAGCGCGCCCCACTGGTCGGCGACGGCGCCTTTGTCTACACCTTGGGCGCGCTGCCGTGTCTCGCCAACGCCTCGCAGCTCGCCGCGGCGCTCTCCGCTGGCCTCTCACCCACCCTCCCAGCCTCGGACACCGCCGCCGCCGCGGCGGTGGATTGTGGAGGAGGCGAGGAGGACGCGGACGCGGGGGAGGAGACGGCAGCGGAGATGGAGGGAGTGGGGGCCGGGGCTGAGGCGGAGGCGGGGGCGGGGGCGGAGGCGGAGCAGACGCCGCTCCGCTCCCCGTCGCCGGCGGAGGAAGCGGAAGCGGACGGAGCCGCCGAGGCTCTGGTGCCCGAGGGGGCGCCTCCTGTCCCGGAGCTGCAGCTGGACGTCTCTCGCTCCACCTCTCGAGTGCTTGAGGGCGGCGCAGCAGGCGGCGACAGCGAAGGCGCCGTTGCCGGCGCTGAAGGTTGCGACATCCGCAGCGGTGGCGGCGGGGAGGCCGGCGACGGAGGCGAGGAGGAGGGCGGCAGGGAGTGCAAAGGGAAGGGCAGCGGCGGAGGCGAAGGGAAGGGCGTGACCGCCGTCTCGGCGCCAAAGCCATCGCCTCCGGGGCCGGGCCGCTCTCCGGGTGGCCGCTCTCGCCGCATCTCTGGTCAGCGCGGCGTCGCTGCGAATGCGCCCGAGGAGGAGGAGCCGCAGCGAGACGGCGGCGCCGCCGCCACGCCCACCGACACCTCCACCGCCGCCGCCGCACCGCTCCCCCCGCCGCGACGGCTGCGCATCCTCGTCTGCAGCCACTCGCTCACGCCGAAGGAGAGCCAGCAGGGCGGGCGCCAGAGCGGAGGGACCGAGTGGCTGGTCGGGCCACCGGCGCCGCCGGCCTCGGCAGCGGAGCAGGAGGAGGAGGTGCGCCGTTCGTCGCGCAAGAGCCCGCCGTCAAAGAAGAAGCTGGACGGCGGGTGCGGAGGTACGCCCCAGACGCCGCCCAGCGAGACGGAGGCGCTGGCTCCGCCGCCGGCCGCCGCTTCCGCCGGTGACGCCGCCGAAGCGGACGGCTCCGACGGCTCCGACGGCTCGGACGGCGTGGCGAGGGCAGCAGCGCTTGCGACGCTTCGTTTTGGGGTGGAGGCCTTGGCGAGGGAGCTGCAGGAGCACGGCCTCCTGCTCTCTTGCGCGGAGGCGCTCCCGCTGGGGCCGACGCCGCTCACCGACCGCGAGGGCGCTTACGACGCGCTCAACTGCGGCGCGGATGCCATCCACGCCGGTTTGGTCGCGGGCGATGCCGTGCTCGTCTGTTGCGAGCTGCTCCCGTCGGTGGTCCGCCGGCTCGACAGGAGGGCGCAGCCGTCTGCCGGCGCTGCTTGTGGCGAGGGGGGCCGTCGCGCAGGGGGCAGCAGCGAGGGCCGCCGTGACGAAAGCGTTAGCGGCGACGGCGTCAGCAGCGTCAGCGCTGCTGCCGGCGGCGGTGCCGGTGCCGGTGCCGCTGATTGCGGCGGCGGCGGCGGCGGTGCCCACAGAAGCGGCGACGCGCCCGATGCCGCGTCAGCGCGCCCGCCGGCGTCTGGCACGGACGGCGCCGCGCTGCCCTCCACCGACGCATGGGCGCGCGCGTGCGCGATGGCGCACGCGGTTCGGTGGCGAGGCGTGCCCGCTGCAGAGGCGCTCGGCGGCGGCGGACTGAGCGGCGCGGGCTCGCTGCGTGGGCTGGTGCGCGGCTACTTCCCCGCCCTCTTCTCCATCTCGCTCTTCGAGTTGGAGCGGTCGACCCAGTTCGGCTACTACGCGTGCGCCACCGTCGCTTTTGTGCGCGGCAAGGTTGCGACGTTCGGCGGGTGCGATTTCGAGCTGCACCTCAACTCAGCGGCGGCGTCGCACGAGGGCCTGCTCCTGGCCCTGCACCAGGCGGCGCGCGGCCGCATCTGCTTCCGCGAGCACGCCTTCGTGCCGCGGCCGCGCGTGGCGCCGTGGCTGCTCGCGGCGATGCGGCTGGCTTCGCTGCTCGAGCACGGCGACGGCGTGGGGGGCGGGCGCACGGTCGTCACGCTGGCGAGATGTAGCTGAGATATAGCCGAGATGTCTCCTCCCTTGTCCCCGCACGGTTGTCACGCTGGCGAGCACCACGACACCGCGCACAGCCTGCCTTGGGGGTTGGGCCATGTTGACGTTGCGCTGCACCTCCACAGGACATCCACGATGACGCAAAGCTGCAGGACGCGCAGCTGCGCGCGCTGCACGGGCGGCTGCGCCGCGAGCGCAAAGAGATGATGATCACCTGGTGGCTGGCCGAGGACGGCGCCGCGGACTGCCTCGTCTCCGCACCGCTGCCCGTGCCACGGCTGAGGCAGGCCATCCCCGACCCGGCCTACCACACGTCGGGCTCCGACGGCGGACCTGGGCTGCACGCGCACATGGACGCCGGCCTCATGGTGGCGCAAGGCTCGGAGCTGCGGGCGGCGCTGCTGCGCGCGCACAGAGGCGCGCGTGCGCCTCGTCGGAGAGGCCGCAGTCACGGCAGGACCGTCCGAAGACTGGTGCGGGTGTCTCTCAGGCGTGCCCTTCAAGGAGTTTCTGCGGCAGTACGTGCTCAACGTGCCAAACATCCCGCACGGCATCGAGGAGATGGCGCCGACCGGCCGCCCGGCTCGGAGGGCAGCTGTGCAAGCACGCTCTCACCCCCCGCCCCCTTCCCGAAGGCGTGGGACTGCTACTTTGACGAGGCGGGCTGGCCGCAGCTGCTGCCCTTCACGCTCTTCTCTGTCCACCGCTCCCTCATCGCGGGGCGCGACACCAAGGACCCGTTCCCCTCCATCCCCAAGGGCGAGAAGGGCGTCCCCGTCCCCGCCGCCGGCGCGGGCGCCGCGCTCGTGCCGCCGGGCGAGGCGCTGCGCCGGACTCGCGAGGAGTTCGACATCGGGCGCGCCATGTTCGGCAACGCGCTCGCGTGCTGCCGCCACTCGCAGGTCCTCGACTGCGCCGCCCTAACCCTAACCCTACCCTAACCCGAACCCGAACCCGAACCCTAACCCTAACCCTACCCCTACCCCTACCCCTACCCCTACCCCTACCCCTACCCCTACCCCTACCCCTACCCCTACCCCTACCCCTACCCCTAACCCTACCCCTAACCCCAACCCTACCCCTAACCCCAACCCTAACCCCTACCCCTAACCCTAACCCTAACCCTAACCCTAACTCACAGGTCCTCGACTGCGCGGCCGACTCGGAGCACGCGCGCGCCTCGGGCGGCCGGGCGGTCGGGCAGCGCGTGCGCGGGCAGCGCGTCGACGTCGAGGAGCAGATCTCGATGTGCACCGTCTGCGGCGGCGACGAGGTGGACCCGGACGGCGACGCGCTGCTGCTCTGCGACGGGTCGGTGGCGGACGGGTCCCCGTGCCCACGCACGTACCACATGCGCTGCCTCTCCCCGCCGCTCGCCGCAGTCCCCGAGGGCGAGTGGCTCTGCCCCAGCTGCGCCGCAGTGGCACCCGCCTGAGGGCGCTACTTTGCACACATTGCGGGCAGCGTAGGCCCCCGGAGCTCCCGGCAGGGTGCGGGCGATGGCCGCTTACTCTGGGCCTAATGGGCACAGCAGAGCCTCGTCATGGACATGCACATGTGCACGCGCTGCAGACTAAGTGCCATCTGCCGCTAGGGATGACCGCAGCACCGGCGCATGCGGCACGAGGACGAGAGCTGTACACACGTTCCACGGCCCCGGCGCCCCGGCGCCGCCCCGCGCCCCCGGCCCCCCAGCCCCACCCCCACGCGCGCGATCCGCGCGAGATGTTTGAGCAGCTTTGACGTTTGAGCCACTCGAGTACTAGATCTAGCTAGACACCCCGTTACTAGAGCGCGAGGAGGAATGACCGAGGGTGCACATGCTGTATCTCGAGCTGGCGGGTTTACGTACCTACAAACATGCCTCGGCCTTCCGACACCCAGAGCACACACGACACAGGCATGCGGACACACAGGTCACAAAAGCGGATAAAAAATGAACACGCCAGCGTCCAGCGAGGGCGCGATTACTCGCGCTGCAGGCTCCGAAGAAGAGGAGCTGTTGCCCCATCGGAGCTCTGAGCCTACCTCAATCGCCATTAGCAGCAGCAATCCTTGTGCGTCGATGGTCGCGGCTTTGCCTGTCATGCTGTTGGGAGGAGGTTTTGACATATGCCACTACATCTCGAGATGCGGCATTTTCCTCTGGAGGTGTACGCCCCTCTGGAGCTCCGGCCAAATCAGAGGCTGATGGGGTCGTGCTCCGAGCCCGTGCCTTTCCAGGCGATCCGCTGAAGGTTGGACTCGGCATAGTGCCCTGGTTTCGCGCGCCCTCGCCGCCTTGGCAGCGACCGTTTCGGCTCCAGCTTGACCTTCTTTATCGCCTTCACCGGTGCGGCTGCCTGCGAGCTGCGCCGCCGCGCTACCGCGCCGCTGGACCGCCGGGATGAGGACGGATCAGCAGGCTTAGGCTTTTGGGGCGGAGCGGCAGGCTCGCAAATTGCGAACGGGTCCTTCGGCATCGGCGGCAGGCGTGGCATGGCGATCGGGTCCGGGACGAGAACGTCCGCTACCGTTTCGCCGATCGCTCGAAGTGGCGAAAGCGCCCACTTGAAGGGAGAGATGGCTGCCTGCAACATCGTAAAGGCAGTGAAGAAGGGAGCGGCGCAGATACCGAATGCGTGCCCGGCCGCGCTCTCAAAATCGCCGCACTCAAAATGCCAATTTTAAAAGAATTAAATTTGGATTTCAATATGTCTTTTTCTGTCGCGCAAACGAGCAGAGACCTCTGCCCTTTCTCCCATTAAGCTAAAGGTACGTACAACGAGAGAGAGACTCTCCCCATTCTCCTAGTAAGCTCAGAAGACGTAGGAATCCTACATCGAAAGAAGAAGGAGAACAGAAGAAGAGAGATGAGGAGCCCTTACGCCTCAAGCCTACTAGCGCAGCAATCGAGCCCGCTCGACGGCGTCGGCCTGCAGTGGGCACCGCGTGTCGGCCCACAAGCGCCACGAGCGAGCGTGCACCTCGAGCTGCTCGTTCAGGCGCACAGCACTCACCTGGTCGAGCTGGAATGGCGCCCAGCCGAGTCCATCGCCGCCGGAGGCTGTGTCCGCCGCTGCGGGCCAGGGCTCGCAACGCGCAAGCACGGCGCCAAGGCCTGTACGCCCTGTGAGCGATTTGCGTTGAAGCCAGCCCGTGGCGTGCGCGGTGCTCGTGAGCGTGTCCGCGGCACAGTCGATCAGCGATGCGGCGCGCCGGAGCAACGCAAGACCCTGCTGAGCGGCGATGCCAACCTCGCCGAGCACCACGTCGAGCCAAGAAGGCGGCCGGTCCTCGGCAGCGGGTTCCGGCATACTGCAGAGGGAGGCGACTGCCGCACCCGCGCCGCAACGCGTGGCGACTACCGCCTCTCTCCCTGCAAATGCCTCCGTGCGCTCCAAGGGGGCGTCACTCGGCTCACCTGGCACCGCTACAGCCACGTCGACTTCCGGCGCCGCCGCAGCCCAGCACGTGAGGTCCTCGCGCGGCAGAGCTGGGGCCAGGCGGACGGCAACGGTCGCCTGCAGACTCTTCGCCGCGCACAGACCGATGGTGTCCGCGAGTGGGAGTGCAAATGTCTCGAGGAGCGCCGGCGCGAGCGCCGTGGTCACTAAGCCGAGAAAAGCGGACACCTTTTGCGCAGGCAAACCAGGCGTGAGGGTAAGGCAGGGCGGGCGTCGCAGTGCATGCTGCAGGGAGGCAACCGCGCCTGTATCAGAGGCCGACACGTAGCTGACTCCCTTCGGAATCCCTTCAGATGCTTCACTCGGGCTACTTGTCGTCCAAATGCCTCGACTAGGGCGTGAGCTAGCATGGCAGATGATCGATGGAGAGGCTGGGGAGCGGGGACAACAGAGGGGACACACACACACGCTACACGAGAGTTGAGGCAACTCGCGCGAGAGCCAAGACTGCCGAGCGCTGGAGCAGCTCCCAGGTCTTAGAGTCATGAGCTTTGGCAGAGACACCTCGCGCACACGACCGACGGCCGCCCTATCGAGCACACAGAGACACACAGACCTGGTCAAACCGCGTGCTAGAGTTGCGCACGAGCGGGGGGGGCAGTGCTATACCTATAGCTGTTACTCTATGTGGCTATGTGGCCAGTGTGTACACATGCCTTACGTGCCAGTGCTATCAAGCATTCATATTCGCGCGCCGCGGCGCGCACACACACATGCCAAGTCCCAAGTGCCCTCTCTGCACACTGCAGCTCTGCCTCCCTGCACGCTGCAGGCTGTATTTAAAAAGAGAGTTTGCAGTTTCGCCACCGGCCCACCGCACACCAGCCACCAGCACCACCGGCACCGGCCTAGGGCCACGCCGCACGCGGCAGCTCTGTGTCTAGACCCAGAGCTCACGCTGAACCTGCTCCTATTCCATCTCCTAGTAGAGGTGTCCGTTTTTATTATTTAGATCTACAGTATGATCAGCATTGCAGACCCGAGGGACCATGTGGAAGACGGCTAGCTAGTGCTAGTCCCCCATCGCGCATCGGGAGGACGACCCCGGCTAGTCGCCGACCACACCCACAAAGAACCCTGCACAAAGATCGCAAGGGCGGGGACCTGTTCCTTTTTTCCCATCTCACAGTAGAGAGGTGTCCGTTTTTATTTATTTAGCATGCACAATGCTCATATTACGGCAGTCCGGCAGCCTCAAGTCTTTAGGAGGGGGGGGAACTTGCAACTTTTGGAGAGGGGACGACGCATGCGATGCCGACAGCCACACCATCTCCCCCCCCCCCCCCCCCCTCTCCGCTCGCTCGCAGTGTGGTCTCTGGTCGCGCCGCCGCCGTGCGCTCTCTCCCTTTCGAGAGGTCTCCTAGGCACCCGGGTGCGCGGCGGGGTCTAGGCACGGCGAGAGTCCACTAGCTTGGCGCGGGCGAGGGCCGCTTCGACGGCATCGGCAACCGGGGCGGCTGCGGTAGCGAAGTCAGCCATGTCCATTAGAACGAGCGCCTCGCGCGTAGCCTCGTCGGCAGTCGGCGCAAGCGTGGCGATGAGCGATGCGTAGCCCGGCGCGTGCTTGGCGCAGCCGTTGAAGATGTTCCGGTTGAGCCAGCCGTGGTAGGGCGCAAGAGAGGCCTCGTAGGCGGCGCTCATCGCCTCCCTGTACCGCTTTGTCGCTGCCGCGGCGTCGACGGGCGCGCCGCCGGCGCAAACACCTTCCATCCACATGCAGATGAAGCGGAGGGAGCGCGAGAGCCAAGTGAGCCCGATGGCGGCAGAGGGGTCAGCCAGCACCGCGCTCTTCTCGGCCGGCTTGTGGCAGCCAGAGGCGACCTCGTGCGAGAGCAAGCGATCGACTCCGTCTTGCAGCGAAGCGGTGTCCGGGGCCGCCGCTGCTGCGGAGGCTGCCGCGCGCACTTTCCGAACGTTGCGCGCGTCGTTTTGGGCGGCGAAAGCCATCGACGGCCCGAAGCTACTGAGCAGCGGGACGAGCGACGCCTCGATTGCGCTCAGCAGCGCCGCGACGTCTCGCAGTTTGCCCGACGGTGCCAGGGCACCCCTCAACGCCTGGGCCCCTGTCGCGAGGAGAGTGGCGGGCGGCGCAACCACCGGCGCTGGCGCCGGCGCCGGCGCCGCACTCGCAGCAGCAGCAGCAGGGACGAGGTCTGACTCCGCGGACGTGGCGCCCTCGGGGAGAGCCTCTGCCCTGGCCTCTGCGGGCTCTTGCGCCGCCACAGCTCCCGCGTCCGCATCAGGCAAGCTGGGGGCTGGCTCCCGCGCGGGCGTGAGGGGCGGGGCGCGGACTCGCGGCTCGTGCTGTTCCACACGCGCCTCCTTCTCGGCGGGCGGGATGGATGCCTCTGGAGGGAGCAGGGGCTTCTCCGCCGTGCAGTGTGCCCTGCGACGTGCGAAGCGGTGGCGGGTTGGCTGGGGAGAGCCGGGGGGGGGGGGGGGTGCAAGTCGGTCTGCCACGAGCGGGTGGGGGGCAGTCGAAGGGGACTCCGCGCACCAAAGTTGCCGGCTGCTCAAACCGGCAACGAGAGCGAGGACAGCCGCGAGAGCGAAGAGCGAGAGCGAGAGCGAGGAGGTCAGGCCGGAGCTGGCAACGAATGCAGCGATGGCGTCCACGTCGCCGTGCAGCCCGTCGAGGAGGAGCTCGACGCTCGCGACATCGACCGAGGCGCTGTCCGGCAGGCGGCCCGGCGCCGCCGTCGCGGCGCCATCGGCGGAGCATGAGAGCGCGGCGAGCACGGCCCCCAACGCGGCGAGAAGAGCGGCCAGAGGGGCGAAGCCGGCCATGCCTCCCGACGGGCGGGTGGGGGGCACTGCAGTGCTTGCGACCGGCGGCTGCCGCTGGCGCAGCTCCACCTCGAGCTGGAGGCCGAGGAGGCCGCTGCTCGACGGCACCTCGATGCCTGCGCTCGAGGCGGGCGGGCAGGGGGGAGGGGCGGGGAGTTGGGTAGGGTATACTTAGGAGGGCCGGGGCAGGGGAGAGGGGGGGTGGGGGGGGGGAAGGGAAGAGGGTCCGGGAGGGGCGCGACACGGGCAGGGGCACGGCTAGCGCCTGCAGACGCGGCTTTGTTCGCTGTGGCCCTCGCTCGCTTGACGGCAACCTTCATGGCCGCCTTCATCGCCGCCTTCATCGCCGCCTCCGCCTCGGCTGCCGACTCTCTCTTCTGTGCGCCGTCGCTGCGCCTGGACGATCCCACCGCCCCGAGCGAGATTTGTCCGGCGAGCACCGCCTCCCCCGTCACGGCGCAGACGAGGAGGGAATTGCCTGCAGGGCTTCGGCAGGCGTGGACAGGGCGCGGTGGATGACGCAGCCGACTCGCACGGTCCGGGGAGGGTGCGGGGAGGCCGAGCGGCTCGGGCAGCCTCGCGAGCGGCAGCCGCGGCGCACGGTGGGAAGGGGAGGGCTAGGACGGGCGGGCGGGGGCCGGGTGAACCCGCGAGCGTGAATCCGCGCCTGCCTCGGTCATGTAGCGCACTCCTGGCTTGAGCGCGCCGGCGGAGCGGGCGAGGAGAGTCGTTCGCCTACCGCACAGACCAAGGAACGGGCGCTGAGAGAGGGATGCTCTCGGACTGGCGGCTCAGAATATCTCAGAGGTCGGGGCGGAGCGGGCGCCTTGTCGCGCTTGCCGGCTCCGCCTGCCCCGCCGTGTCGCCATTCGCCATGGCACCCTGCGCGGGGGCGAGGAGGATCACCGCGTCGTCCGACTCGCCTAGCCCGCCGGCCGAGAAGAGCGGGGAGAGCGTGAGGAAGTCGACGGTGATGCTGTGGGCGCGCATGGCGTCCGAGACGACGTCTGCGCCGGTGGCGCCTCCAGACGGCGAGTACTGCTCACATGGCCAGGCGCCACCTCTGACCAGCGCCTCCATCCACCGCTGGCCCTCCTCCGCCCCGGGGCCGCGAAGGAGGAGCGTGCGGGCTTCGCCGGGAGTATCGATCCGCAGGCAGATGCCGTCGTCGGAGGGTTCGAGCGACACTCGGGCGGCGACTCCCGTGCTTACACAGACCATCTCGACCGCCTCGGCGGGCTCGACAGCGTCGTGGTCGCGAAAGATGAAGAGAGTCCCACCACACAGGATAATGTAGCGCCGACGCCAAGCCCAAGTCTGCAGCGCGCGGCTATCGTTCAGCTCAACCGAGCGGCTCACGGTGCACACCGCGCGAAGGGAGTTTGCATCGACTCCACGGGCGCCGCAGGCACGCGCCAGACCGAGCGAACGCACGCGAGTCGGCGAGATCGGCGTCGGTATGCAGCCGAACACGGCGGCGCCATCGTCGCCGGTATCCATTATGTATATGTGGATGTGTGTATATTCAGAGTGGAATCTGAGTTGCTGGTCCAGTCTTGCGGCGGTTTTCGCGGTTTTTCTTTTTTAGAGACGCCGTTCACGCGTTTGGCTTCTGATGTAACGCGATCCACGCAGGCGCGTGCGAAACTGCACCGAGCTGGCACCGAGTCACTCTTCCGCCAACCCCAGACTCGGTAGCTCGGTCTCTCGCGAACGGCTCTCCCCGGCGCGAGCCCTCTCTGCCCGGTCCACGCGGGCATCCAAAACCCCGAGTGCTTTCTTCCCCGTACGAATCCCCACCAACACCCAGTCTTCTGATCCATGGCCCCTCTACGTCCCTAGCGTGTGCGCTCGCGTTGCCCTCCGACGGCCACGCACGCGCCGTCATGGCTCATGCCGCCGGAGGGCAAGCCGGTCGCCAGCCCTTGCAGTATTCCGCAACCTTGGCCTTGTGCGCCTTCTTATCGTCCTCGCTGATGAAGGAAGCGTCGAACGAGTTGAGGGCGAGCTGGACGCACTCGTCAGGCGACAGGCCGCAGTCGCGCACGGTCCGCACATAGTTGGAGGCAAGAAACCCATCATATGCGCTCGCATCGCAGGCGCGGCCGGCAGCGCTGACGTTGCCCATGAAGAAGTAGGCTGGGTCGTCTGAGTTGACCGTCACCTTGACGCCCCGGCTGAGCAGCTGGCGCACGGCGTTCTCGCCGCAGAAGAAGCGCGGGTACACTTGGAGCCGGTGGTTTGAGCAGGGGCAGACAGTCAAGGGCGTCTGCGCCTTGACGAGCCGCTCCACGACGGCCGGGTCCTCGAGGCACCGCACGCCGTGGTCGACGCGCTCGATCTTCAGGTCGTCGAGCGCTTCGGTGATGTACGACGCATCCCCCTCCTCGCCCGCGTGCGCAACGCAGTGCAGCCCCGCCTCGCGCGCCTGACAAGTGAGGCGAGGTGCGCGGCGCGAAGGTGGGACGAGGCGGCGTTACGTGACGCGCCTTGTCGTACGCGGGCTTGAAGCGACCAGGCCGGAAACCGAGCTCCGCGTTGTCCATGCCCACCCCAAGGAGATCGGGCGTGTACACGGGACTCTTGACTTCCATGTACGGCCTCGCGTCCTCGAGTACCTGCAGCGCCTCCTCGACTGAGCGGTCGCGAAGGAAGCAGAGGATGAGCTTCCCGTCGACGCCCAGCGTCTTGCGGCCCTCCTCAAGCGCCTTTGTCAGGCCGGTGATCACCGTCTTGAACTCAAGGATCTTTTCGCCGACTCCGTTCGGATTGAATTTGCCCCCCGCCTTCCCTTCGGGGTTGAAGCCCTCGGCGGTGACGCCCGACACGTCTGTGTAGCAGTGCGTCTGCGGATCAAAAAAGATCTCTGCATGCACGACGCCATTCTCGGCGGCCCGCTCGAGATAATCGTACATCATGTCGTAGAAATCCGCCTCCTTCCGCATGACGCCGGAGCACTTTCCGTACTCGATGAGGAACGGCACGAGTGAGGTGAACTCGCGGCGTGCGGCAGCGCCCTTCTCTGGATCAAAGGCGTCGAGATCAAGCCCGTTGCGCTTCGCTATGGCGTACGCTCGCGCTGGCGTGAGCGAGCCCTCGATGTGCAGGTGCAGCTCCGCCTTTGGCAACCCCGCCACAAACTCGGGCATGTGGCGTGCCGCCGCGAGCGCAGAGTCGCGATCCAGCAGTCCACTTTTGACGGCGCGCAGATCGGGAGAGCTAAAGTCCGGGCAGTCCTTGCCGAACGCAATGTTGGAGTCCCACAGGCTGGCGCGAAGCTTCTCGTCCTCGTTCCGCACGTCGGCCATGGGATCTGGCGTTTGCGTGGGGGATAGCGGACGGAAGAGTCGCTCAATCAAGTGTTAGGTAAAAACGGGAAATTTTGTTCCCCCAGCCGCCCAGCGCCGGCACCGCCGGCCGGCTTTTTCCAGTCCGCGCCAGTCCGCGCCCTTGTCGTGCCAGAAAGAAAGAAAGAAAACAGACAACCCGAGGGAGGGATGGGAGGACGGCACGCCGCCACCACACAGGGATTTTAAGGAGAGGAGTGTGGTGCTAGCCGTCGCCCACCCTAACCCTTGGTCGTCTGCCTCTTTCTATCTCCCTTCGCAGTCCCTCGCCGATTCTCGCTGCAACCTTCATGCCACCTCGCGGTCGTCCCACTCTTGTCGTTCTCCCTCCTGTCGCTTCCTCCTCTGTCGCGTCGCTCTCGTCTGCCTCGTCCTGCGACGCCGCCGCCGCCTGCCGACCCCTTGTTTGGCCTGTCCGAGGGTTTCCTCTCGCACCCTACCTAGTTTCCTTTCCGTGTTTCCTGCTTGTTTCCCTACAACACCCTCTAGTTTCCTCGGGAAACCCCGGGGTAACTCCGTGGAATTCGTCATTTTGGGGGGGCTCTGAGCCGTGTCTGAGGCTGTTTTGGGGCCAAAATCGGCAAAATACCGGGTATTTTGCGGGTATACCTGGAAACCCCCGGTATACCTGGAAAATACCTGGGTATCGTGCCGATTTCCTCAATTTTGCCCCAGATTTTGCCCCAGACCAGCTCTCAGACTCAGGGAAACTCGTGAGTTTCCCGAGGGAAACTCGAGAGAAACAGAATGGAGCACCAAACACCCTCTGGTTTCCCTGGAAACTTCCGGAAACGCAAAGTGCTGGGGACCCTCTGGTTTCCCTCTGGGTTGCCGGAAACCCTCGGACAGGCCAACCCCTTGTTCTCGCGGCTTCTCCCGCCTTTCGGCGCAACTCTGCCCTCCTCGCGGCATATTTTGGCCCCTCGAGTTTATCGAGCTCATCTTGTCATGCCAGTGCTGTGAGAGATGCGGATAAAAAAAATCTTTTCCGAAAAGAATTCTTAAAACACAAGCCTCTCTCACAGCACACTGGACGACAAGGGCGCGGACTGGCGCGGACTGGCACACACACCGACTCACCTTTCTTCGAGAGCATTCGTGAGCGACTCCACGCCGCGCCGCCGACAGCCCGACGATGACGGCGCTGGCCCCCCTACGCTCTGACGGCGTTGCGTTCCTCGCCGCATCGGCGACGATGGCGGTGCTAGTCGAGGGCCTCAAGGTTCTCGCAAAGGCTGGCGTCTACCCCACCACCTTCACGCGGAAACTGCTGCACATGGCGGCCGGGCCCGTTTTCATCCTGACCTGGCCATGGTTTGGTAAGCAGCCCTCGAGCGCTGTGTGGGCGGCCGCCGTGCCCGCGTGCATGACCGCCAAGTTCGCGCTGGTTGGCGCCGGCCTCATCCAGCAGGACGCTGACGTGAAGCTGATGAGCCGTACAGGAGACCGGCGTGAGCTGCTGCGCGGGCCACTCCTGTACGGCGCCGTCTTTTGCGCCGCGACGGTCCTCGGCTTCCGCAGCGCCACCGCGGGCGGCGCGCTCATGGCCCTCTGCGCCGGCGACGGGATGGCGGATGTGATTGGCCGCCGATTCGGCCGCCGCCACAAGCTTCCGTGGTCGCCGCAAAAGTCGTGGGCGGGCTCCGCCGCCTTCACCGCCTCGGCCTTCGCCGGCTCGATGGGCGCGGTGAGCCTCTTCCACCACTGGGGCTGGTCCAGCAGCGCTGCCGCGGACCTCGCCCTCCCGCTCCTCGCAGCGAGCGTCGCCGCCGCAGCCGCAGAGAGCCTGCCGGTGCCAGAGATCGACAACGTGGTCGCACCGCTGTGCTTCGCCCTTGCCATGCGTGCCCTTGCGCCGCCCTAGTATAGCGGGCTCGCGGAGTGCAGTGAGAATGAAGAAAGGAGTGTTTAGTAGGAGTTACCGCATAGCTGGGAGGAATTGGAGCAGCTGTGGAGTGCCGTATGCACATGTGCATGCACATGTGCATGTATGTTTAAGGGTGTGGACCGTGAGTTGAGGAAATCGGGGGACGCGACCCAAGTCGCCACAGACGGTCCCGCGCCTCGCCGCTAAGTTTGCGGCACGCCCCGCACCGACTCTGTCCCGCGTTTTAGCCCTGCCCTAGGCCTAGCCCTGCCCTAGCGAAATTTTTTCACAATATCGCAACCGCGATACCGCGCGATATTTGGCGATAAAATGCGATAAATGGCGATGTTGTGCGATGCTCGCGATCACGCGAGCCCTTCACAGCACGCCTCAGCGACGCGCGTGAAGCGTTACACGTGTCAGTCCTGGGCGCCGAAAGTGCGAGAGAGGTGCTGGTGGGCGGCGGGAAAGCGCGACCGGAAAACAAAGAAATGCTCGGACCGTCACCGTCACCGCCGCCGGGGCCGGAGGGGTGCGCGATATTGCGCGAGATTGCGCGAGATTGCGCGAGATTGCGCGATATTGCGCAATATTGCGCGATATTGCGCGATATTGCGCGATATTGCGCGATATTGCGCGATACTCGGCGATACTCGGCGATCATTCACGATATACAGAAAATTTCCGCTAGAGCAATTGTTTTTTGTCCGGAGTGAAAAGTAAAACGGCACGTCGGTAGGTGGGAGGTAAGGGCTACGAGGTCTACGCCCTTATGGGAGGAGGGTCCGGTTGATCGGTTCTGGCTCTGGCGCCTTGCGCTGTCTGGTCGCAGTGGCAGTCAGTCGTGTGCTGTGGTACAGTGGCAGTCGACAGTGGTAGTCCAGAGCAACGCATGTCGCATCTCGATAGCTCAGACGCGTATGCCGCCGGTTCCTCCAAGACCAGAGGAGGCCACCGCTGCCGATCCTGGCGTCTCGAGGTGGCGCGGCTGCAGCTGTGGCCGGAGGCTCCACCGCCGCCGCCGCCGCTCGACGTCATCCACGGCTGGGTCCACCGAGGCAACGAGCGGATGCTGCGGCGCCTCCTCGAGGAGCGGCAGCCTCGCTGCGTGGTGGAGCTGGGCTCGTGGTGCGGACTGTGCACAACGCTTCTCTGCGAGGCGGCTCCACGCCTCGCTGTTTTCGCCGTGGACCTGTGGGACGCGCCGCACCTCTTGGCGACACCGTCACAGCGTGAGCAGTACACCTGCGACGCGCAGGCGATGGCCATCCTCCAGGCCGGCGAGCTGCACGCGGCCTTCCTACACAACCTGTGGCCGCACCGCACGCGCGTATTCCCGCTGCGCATGCCCACTGGCGACGGGCTGGCGGCGATCGCGCGGCTAGGAGCTCCCGTCGATCTTATCTATGTCGACGCCGACCACACCTATGCCGCGGTGCTCGCAGACTTGCGGGCGAGCGCGCGCCTCTTCCCCGACGCACTGCTCTGCGGTGACGACTGGTGCTGGGCCGACGTGCAGCTCGCTGTGGCCGACTTCGCGCACGAGCGTGGGCTCCGGGTGGTGTCGCACCCGCGCGAGAACTGGTGGTGGCTTCGGCACCCGCGCGAGGAGGCGGTCGTCGTCTGGGAGGGCGAGGACGGAGCAGGGGCCCGGGGGGCAGCGGCGAACGACGGTCGCGAGGGGTGGGACGCGTGATCGTTCAATACAAAATAAAGGCGAGAGATGAGATGGGGACGGGAGCACGACTAGCGCACCAGCCCCACCAATATATGTGCTTACACTAACGTGCGAGTGTACGTGAGATTTTACGAGCTCTGGCACTGCCACTGGCCACTGCCCCACTGGCACTGCGCACTGGGCATCGACCGGGCTCCCCGGGCCCGCCGTCTGCGCAGGCCGCAGCGGGGGGCCCTCTCGCCGAACGCGTGTCCAGCTCCGCTTGTCCGCTCGTCGAAAGATGCACATCGCGATAGGCGTTAGGCGTAAATGAGTTAACATGCACTTCGCCTTAGAGAATAGTCCCAACAAAAAATTCGTCGTGCATGGCACTCTGACTCTCGCCTACATTCATGAATGAAATCGCTCCTGACCAGCCCTGCGGACTTAGTCAGCGTTCTATCAGAGACTCTAACGATGTAGTACGAAGCCTTCATCCCTTCATCCTTCAACAAAGGGGCTTGACCTTGGCATGCACAACGATGGGGCGCATGCTCTCCATGGTCTGTGATCTCATGAGGGGCTATGATCGTGCCGAGTCGGGGACATGCTACTCTGTCAATGCCGTCGTCGCTGGTCGCAACGCGGCGTCACACCCCTGGCATTCCCGGGGCCTTGAACGTGTCGTCCGTCGGAGCATCCAGCACGACGGTGCTCTTGGAGATGCCGGCTCGCCGTTTGTACACGTCGATGAGGGCGAACGCGCCCCCGAAGGCAGTGACGCTAAAGAGCGGCACGCACGCAAGCACGACGACCCGTTCGCCCAGGTCGGCGCGGCGCTCGCTCAGGCCGGTGTCGCTCAGCAGGTCGTTCGCGGCGACGCCGACGGGGATGATCAGGTTCTGGCTCACCACAAACAGGTTCCAGCCGACGAAGAAGGCCATCGAGTTGGTGAGGAAGAAGCGCTCCATCGCCTCGCGGTCCGTCTGCATGCTCGTGTCGAGCTGGCCCGACTCGCCCGTCGCAACCAGCCAGGCGACGCACAGCAGCACCAGCGCCGCGCACAGCGCCACGTTCGCGACGATCACGCCCGCAGAAGCGGGCGGGGCGCTGAGGCTGGGGAAGGCAAAGGTGACCCAGTCGCTGCACGCGCAGCCGGTCACGTAGGCGAGCACGCTCTGCACCAGGTTGGAGAGCTCGATCGCCACCGCGCCGGCCGGCCCGAGGTGGGCGTCGATCTGCTTCTCGAGCTCCTCGAGCCGCACCGAGAGGAGCGCGCCGGCGAAGGTGAGGAAGCCGGCCGAGATGAAGGAGATGTGCCCGTACGAGCCGGCCGCCACGCCGAGGAAAAGATAGTCGTTGGCCGCGTGGTACCACAGCATCATGACGACCACGGTGAGCCCTCGAGACAGCATCGCCAGCACGTCCTCCACCCAGTCCTCCACCCAGTCGATCAGCGGCCCGCTCCCCCACTCGACCTCGGCGACGAACGGCTTGAGCAGCGTGATGAAGAGCGCGGCCGCGACCGTGCATCCGCCCGAGAAGCCGAGGTTGAGTGCGGTGCACCCGCCCGCCTCCTCCACCTCGCAGCCCGACGCGGCCCGCACCTCCGCGAGCTTGAAGAGGGCGGTGTTGCCCGCCGCCCATCCCACCACGTAGTTCATTATGCTCGGCACGAGCGGGAGCCAGAGACCGGATCGCGCACCCTTCCTGCGCTCGGCCCGCTCCATCCTGAGCTCGGCCAGGTGCTTGCACAGCCCTGTCAGCGGCAGCAACACGAGCGTGTAGAGGGCCCATGACGAGGAGGAGGCCGGAGGCGTGCACTCGATGTCGTCGTACCCCAGCCCGCAGAACCACGGCGCCATCAGACTGAAGCAGTAGATGGCGATCGTGTCCGACCAAAGCTTCGACACGACGTAGATCAAGGCATTTGCCACAAAATCGCCAACGCATTCAGAGGCCCCGCGGAGGTTGGCAGCGCACACACGGCCGCACATCGCCCAGTCAGGAGGGCATGTGCACAGCGTGACGGCAGCCGCCGCCGGCATTTTGTCCGGTGCGTCTGCTGCCACTGCTGCCGCTGCTGCCTCACGGACTGCACCTGCCGCTGCAGCTTCCGCTGCGGCGACGCCAGCAAGCACCTCGTCGTCGACGTTTGGGAGGAGGCGCTGCTGTAGAGCGAGCATCATGTTTCGACGCCGAGATTCGAGCCAGAGCTTCGAGCCGAGCAGCTTCGAGCCGAGCAGCTTCGAGCCGAGCAGCTTCGAGCCGAGCAGCTTCGAGCCGAGCAGCTTCGAGCCGAGCAGCTTCGAGTGAGCTTTTGCACGCGATATGCTCGCGATACGACTGCGTGCCAGCAATCGGCAGACTTTTTTCTTTCGCTAGAAAACAGGATTCCGCGGCACGCCGCCGTTTCTAAGCCTTTCTACAGCCCTCATCCACCCCACGCCGTGGTTTCTTAGCTCCGGCCGGCACTCAAGCCATTGCTTTGTTGGTTTTCTAAAATCTCTCTAAAGCCAGAGCCGGCCCGAAGGAGTTTTAGGTAAGAGGTAAGCTGCGGTCCGCGAGGGCGATGCCAGAGTCTGCCGCCGAGTCGGCTCTCTGGATGACGAAGACGCACACACGCCTCCATCCACTCCACTCAGAACACCGCAGACTTGGAAAGTGACAAGTGCGCGCGCCGCAGGCGAAGAGAAATTTTGAGCTGGGGCTCCCATTCACATTCGTGTCCGGCCTTTTCTCGGGGCCGCGCCTGCGGCGCGCCGTGGTTTCTTAGATTTTTTGCGGAAATCGCTCAACACGAGCTCATATATGTCATAACACGTAGAGGATCGAGGTGCACGCTACCGAAGCAGTGTCGTCCCCCCTCTCCATCATCTCACTGGGAGACGTCGGCGGTGGTGGCGGTGTGACCGATGAGCTACAACAAGAGGAACACAGGAACTCGTTTCAGCGGGGTCCGGGATAGTCAGATGCACTACCTCACTGGTCCTGAGACCTCCTTTGCGAACTTACAGTGGGTTGCGGGCATTAAGAAAGCGTCGCATTAAGAAACCACGCCGAGCGATTTCTGCAAAAATCTAACAAACCACGGCGCGCCGCAGGCGCGGCTCCGTCCGAGAAAAGGCCAGACACGAGTGTGACCACGGGCGGGAGCTCCCAGCTCGTCAAAATTTCTCTTCGCCTGCGCGGCGCGCGCACTTGGCATTTTGCAAGTCTGCGGTGTTCTGAGTGAGCGGTGTGGATGGAGGCGTGTGCGTCTTGAGTCGGTGGCAGACTGGCTGGCGGCATCGGATCCGGGACCGCAGCTCACCTCTTCCGACTATCCGGGGCCGGCTCTGAGACCTACATTGCTTGGGAGTTAAGAAACCAGAAACGGCGGCGTGCCCGCATCCTGTTTTCCGCTTTGCCGCCTTCCGTAAAAGATGTAAAGCAGCGACACGACCGCCGAGTATGATAGCGCCGCCAGAGGCGACGCCGTTGCGCTCTTTGCGCCCAAGAGCGGTAATTGTTCTCCTCGCCGCTGGAACCCTGCTCGTCCTATCATCGCGGGCTAGGGGAAACCGCCAGCTGTTCGACACGTCCTTCGACGGCAAGCTGGGCGAGTATTTGGATGGCAAGCTCGACGGTGCGATTGACGTGATTGCTTCATGGCACCGCGACCGCTATCCTGCTGGCGACAAACGAGAACGGGGCGAACTGAAGCGGCGCGCAATCACTAAAAGACACGCCGCCCCTCGCGCGCTAATATCCTTCTCCGTCACAGGATCACGATTCAGCTGGACCTGCAAGAGCCCGCCTCGTCGGGCGGCTTCTGCTTCGTGCTCGACCCACCGCCGCACGAAACCGCTACAGTGACGTGCTTGCACCGGGTGAGCGCTCGCACAGCCGGCATCCTGGACAGGCGTCCGGGACCAGTCCCCCCCACCTCCCCGTGCAGGGGGAGCCCTGCTGCCACGGTGGGAATATGTGGCAGTACAAACCGACGACGCAGATGAAATGCGGAAGCCCCAAAGTGACCCTGACGTCTATCGAGGACATTGTCTGCACGGCCGAGGGGTACGAACAGTCGGCGATGGCGTCACGAGCGCCGTTTGGTGCATCAAGAAGCCTTGAGTGGCTCGACGGATGGTGCCCTTGAGTAAGCTCGACACTACAGTGCATGCATGCATGATACAGTACGATTTATGATGTGTGTTGTGCGATGCCGGGTTCGGTTGGGAGGCGGATCGAGAGCGTACTGCGCGCGTTGCGTGGCCATGTGCGCGCGTTGCGCGGCCTGCGCGCTCAAATGGTCAAACATACCCCTCTCGCCCGATTTGGTACTTTGTTTGTGGGGTTGCCGATGCCCCCCGCGGCGCCTGTTGCGCGGTAAGGCCTGTTTTCGCTGTTGGTGTTGTGCACAGAGTAGCACAGGACTCTTTTTTTTCACTCTTGAGCGCGATTATCGGCGCATGTTTGAGTGACGTACGTGCGAGATTAGCCAAAAACTGCGGCGCCTTGCTCGCTATACTTCCCACTCGTGCTCCGAGACCGATGCAGCGCGGCCAAGCAACGGCTGAGACTCGCCGCCGCCGCTGTGTCGCCGCCCGCCGCAATTTGCCGTCGCTGACGGCCACGACGCGGGCCGATCGTCGGTGGCGTCGACTCGCGGCGAGCGGTGGTTGTTGGGCGGCGCGTGCTGCCCCGACTCGTTCGCACCTACAGTCGAAGTTCGTCCTGAGCCCGACCGCGCAGAGGGAGCGGCTTTGCCGGCGCGCCGCGGACCGGCAAAGAAGCCGAGGATGTTGGCGGCGCGGTTGAGCCAGCGAGGCGGCGGCTCCAGCCCGAGCTCGGCGCACGCGGCCGCGACCCAGTGGTGACAGTTGTGCTCCGTGATCTCGTAGTCGTCCATCGTCCACTCGAGGGTCGCGAGCGCGCGCAAGGCCTGGTGCGAGTCGTGCAGCTCCCGCTTGCTCACGCCGAGGGGCAGCCGGGCGCGAAGCGGCAGCGAAGCTGCCATCGACCGGTCGGTGTGGTACGGCGGGTGCCACGCCACGCCGCAATCCCACTCCAGCTCGCGTGACCGCCAAGCGGTGCTGGCTGCCCGCGTCACCTTTCTCGAGGCAAACGGCACAGTCACCTCCGCAACGCCGCCGCCGCCGCTCTCGTCGACGCCGCAGCTCGCGTCGCAGCCGGCGTACGACGGATCGCCGAGGTGCCCGCCGCCTAACTGCGCCAGAACGAGGGTGAGGAGCCGTCACGGTGCAGCCGCCCTCGCCCTCGCCATACACCGTCTGCCTGGCTGCCGGTCGTAGGTGTACTCGAGGCCGTCAATCTCGAGGCCCGAGTGGTAGACGCCGACCCCCATCGGGTGGCCGCAGCAGCTGTTCCAGCACGGGCAGAGATCGTACACGGTCAAGAAGGCCGCGCCCGCCTCCTCCTCCCGCCACGCCGGCAGCAGCGCCGTCACGCCGCCGTCGCTGTGCGCGGGAGGCAGCCCGCAGGGAACAGGAGACGGCGCGGCGGGCCGCCCCTCTGGCACCCGCCCGCTCAGCCACGAGGCCGAACGGCGCAGCGGCGTGGCAGGACCCGATAGTGTGCTCTTCTCCACGGGTGCGGTGCGAAGGCCTCGCGTCTTCGAGGGCGAGGCGCGGCCCTCAACGACGACGTGGCCCCTCGAGTTGAGGAAGTAGCCGCTCGTGCGCTGCCGAAGCGCCGCCGGCGTGACGTTCCGCCCAGCCCTCGGCGCGGGCGGGAGCGCGACCTGGTTTCTCCGCAGAAACCATGAGGTCTCTGGCGAGGACGTCCTCGGTCCGTTGGGCGTGCTGGCATTGCGCCGCAAGAACCACGACTGCTGGCACTGGCGCTGGACGGCGGCGTCGATGTCACCACCCTCGTCGAGCAGCCCGCGCCGGCGCCACATGTCTTGCAGCCACATCTTGGCCGCGCCAGCAGGCATTTTGTCCACGGCGCGAGGCCGGATAGAGTCGGCGCCGGGGGGGAAAGAAAGCCGGCGCCACGCTGGGTATGCCGAGGGAAGCTGCGCGGCTGATCCACTAGAGTGGATAGGGCAGCACGCTGGAGGCGCTCCACCAGTGCGTGGAGCCACTTCGACGCGCAACTGCGCAAAACCTGTAACGACCAGATGCCGGTGGGCGGGCGCACGCACGACGCAGATCGCGATTGACCTCGCTGATCTGGATGCATGCGCGCCGCTTGAGACATGGGCTAGCTCCCGGGAAACCGGGCCCACACAAGTAGGAAGTGGTTACTGAACGTGTGGGAGCAGTGTGCACAGTCTAGGGGTCCACCGTGTAAATGTGGACCCTTGTACGTGCCTGTCAGTGGACAGTGCTACCAGAATGTGGCGCGGACCTGTGAGATGTGCATGCACCCTCCGCTCCGGGGTGTGTGCACGCTGGCGAGACTGAGGGCGGGAGCCGGAGTGAGGAAGACGAGACGGGCGCGCGGGGGCTGCCACACGTGCCGGGACCGAGCCGATGGCTCGCCCCGGTGGGCGCTGGGCGGAGGACGGGACTCTGGGAGTGAGGCCGGGCGAACACACATGAGGTGTATCCGTGTACGTGCGTGGAGTACGGTGGTGTGGGTCCGTGTTAGCTCCGAGTAGAGGGGGCGTTCTGCAGTTAAGGAGAAACCCGGTACACGGAACCCTCGGAGAACCGTGTTTACTTTACGGCCCTTTCCCTGCGAACGCGCACCCCCCACAGGGCTAGGGCTCTCTAGCCCGCAACCCGATGCCAATCATCTGGCCCGCTGGGTGCGCTTCTTAGCTCCCCGACCCTGGATGTGAGGTTAATGACTGCACTCCAAGTGCTCCAAGGTCCTCCCCCCCAGCCCTAGCTTGGGATCGTGAAATCCCTGTGTGGTGGCGGCGTGCCGTCCTCCCATCCCTCCTTTGGGCTTTATGTTTTCTTTCTTTTCTTTTTTAGCTTGGGATCCCCATGTACTTTCCTTCTATACAACGCGATTAGTGTGTATGTGAAAAGGAGAGGGCAAAGAACCAAAGATACAAAAACAAAGCAAAGAAGAACAAAAGCCGCTCTCCGAAGCACCGGGCACGACACGTGCGTTGCGTGCATGTGACACGTACACGTATCTCGAGGTTCTCGAGGCTGATATCCTAGCTTTTGGCCGCATTGCCTTCTCTCTCCACACGTCTCCACACACATCACATGCCTCCCACATGCAGCGCTGATCTTCTTCACGTTACATGGACCCACATCGAAGTTCCTCCCTCCAATAAATGACCTAAGTTCCCGCCCGCCGCCGCCACGGGGCTCTGCCGGGAGCGCCCACGGTCAGCAGGGCTCGCCCGCGCTCTCGGCCGTCTGCGCTTGCGAGCACGCGGACGACACCTGGCTGAGCGGGACGACGATGGTGTTCGTCTGCGGAGACGGGCTTGGGCTGCCCTGCCCCTCCTGCTCCCCCTCGGGGTTCTCTCCTCCGTCCAGAAGGGAGAAGTCGTCCTCGTCCCCGATGCTCGCCTCCCATTCGGAGAAGGTTACACTGCGGCAACCGCCCTTGGGGCGAGTCCGGTGGGCCGCCACCGACGCGGAACGTCGCACGGCGCGCCATGCCTTGGCCACCTGCGCCATGCACGACCACGGCGTCGTTGTCGCCGGCGGCTTGAGCGGGCCGCAGCAGCCCGAGTCGCGCCGCGAGCGCGATTCCTCCAGCGTGCATCCCGTCGTCCGGCGCTCAGGAGCGTCCTCCGCGAGCAGGAAGAGCGAGCCGCAACTCTGGTACGATAGCCGGGCGAGCTTGGTCCACGCGTCGGCAGGCAGCTGCCATTTGATGCAGCCAGCCTGCTCGTGAGCGACGTCGACGTGGGCGGAGCAGGTCCTGCGGGGCGAGGAGGCGGGCGAATAAGCCACACCGCACACCGCACACCGCACGCACTGCGCCTCGTCGCCCGCTTATGGCTCAATACCGCAGATGCTATACCGGTCCATACTTCCCGCCACCTCATGCATGCACTCGCGCGTCATAGAGAGTTAGGGCAGACATGATGCTCGCCGTTCAACCTACACTCATCTCGCTCTCCCGGCTGGCGCTAAAGCCGTACCCCGCCCATCTCCGTGATCATCACCACGCTCTAAGCATGGCCCGCTGAAGAGCACACGAGAGGTGAAGCGCACCCAGACGGCCGCGAATCGTCGAGCCTCATTTCAGGTCTCTCTTGGTCCTTTTAGCTGTTCCTTGGGCTTGGCCGTGACTGGATAGAGCGGATTGGAAAAAAATTCGGGCGCGCCGCATATTAAAATGGTCCAAGGGTGTCGCTACCTCTCAGCGCAGCGAACGCATGTGCGTGTGTGAGAGAGATCAGACGGCTGAGCTTTCGCCGCCGGAGCAATAACCGCTGCGGGGCGGCGCCGGGCGCCCCTCCCCTCCTCGCCGCCGCCCCTCCCCCGCGCTCTTGGCAGTGTCTGGCCGGCAGCCTCGGGGGCGGCGACCCGACCGAGGCCGCGCCCCGGCCTCGCGCGGCTCAGCGGTTGAACATGAGCGTGGCGCCAAACCTGGGCGGCCTGCCCGCCGGGGTGGTGTCCACCTCCGCGGCGACAGTCAGCTGGGCTGCCTCCCTCTCCATCTGCAGCGCGAGCGCGAGCAGGCCGTTGGAGGCGGTGCGGCCGCGCAGCCGCACTCCGCGCGCCACCTGCTTGCTCCCTCCCATCGACAGCACCCGCTCGCCGCGAGGGGTCACCTCGAGGGGCGGGGCGTGAGTCGGGCCGAGGGTGAGGGCGGGGGGCCAACGGGGCCAAGGGCAGGGGCCAGGGCGGAGGAGTCACCTCGAAGGTGGCGTTGAGGGCGTCGCCTCCGCCCAGCTGCTGGCAGGCGGAGAGGGAGCCGCTCACGCCGTTGGGCGAGCCCGCCCGCGGCCGCGTCACCTCTGCGGTGACCGTGCCGATCCGAGTCGGCATCGAGCCGTCAGCCGTCGGCTCGGCCTGCGTGTACTCGACGGCAAACTTGGAGCCGCCCCACGCGCCGGGCAGGCCCCAAGCGTTGGCGCCGAGCAGCAGCTGCGAGTCCTCCCCAAATGGCTGGAGGGGCAGCAGCAGCTCCGCCGAGAGCTGCCCGCCCAGGTTGGCCGAGCCGATGATTGCGCCGATCGGGCTCATGAGCACGCTCTGCATTGCGCCGCCCGCGAGGCCCTGAGGCATGAAGGCGAGCTGCGTGGTGAGCTGCAGGAAGGGCAGCGGCATGAAGCCCTCGAGTGTCGTCTGCAGCACGCCCTGCGACACCACCTCCGCCTTGAGCGCGCCGAAGCGTGTCCCGTAGGTCAGACCCGACTGGAGCATGCCGTTGCCGTCGTCAGCCAGCATGCCCATCCCGCTCAGGCCGAGGCCCTCCCGCAGGCCGAGGCTGACCATCGCGAGCCGCTGCGGCGTGGTCGCGTTTATCCACTCATTCAGCTCGCCCTTGAACATCGGCAGCGACGGGAAGCCGGGCTCGTCCAACGGCGGGCCCATCATCTGCTCCTCTGCCGCAGCACCACCCGCGCCAGCGCCACCAGGCCCGTCGGGCGCCTCGGCGCCCGTCATGCCGGCCGCCATGGCCGGCGCGTCCGCCATATGTGTGTTGTGTATGCTCTGTGTATATCCGCGCGCAGTGGGGCGAGCACAGGTATGTTTTCTTTTTCCAGAACTTCGAACGAACTACAACACCAGGGCAGAAGGCTCGCCGCACGGCGAGATAAGCAACGCGGGCCTCAAACCCCTGTCTCGCATCCCGTTACAGTACCTCGGGCGGATTGAGGTACTGGGCGCCGTCAAACTCCTTCAGGTTCAACTCATTCTCCTCGGCCATCTGGGCGCGGGCCTTTGCCAGCGGCTCGGCCGGCATGATCGCGAGGAATTTGTCGATTGCCGTCGAGACCGAGGCGAGCGCCGCCAGGACGAAGCGCGTCTGCTCGGGCGTGAGCGAGTTGGCCTTAAGATCCTGCGGAAAGTACTCGAGGATCTGGTTGAGCCCCTCGACGGCGGTGTTGCCGTACGTCGTGGCCTGCATCACCTGGTCGCGCGGCGCAAACGCGGACGCCTTGTTGAAGCGCGTCGCAAAGTCCGAGTTCTCGAGCATCATCCGCGTCGCACGCTTGATGTTGAGCCGCTGGAGGTCCCGATACTTTCCGGTCTTGACGAGCCGCGACTCCTGCATCGTCGACTCCTGCACTCGCAGGAGCGCGTACAGCTCCTCCTGCAGGTTGATGCTCGCGCGTCCATCCTTGGGCGCAGCACTGGCCGGCGAGGCGCAGCCAGCGAGCGCTGCGAGCGCCGCTCCGACGAGCGCCTCGCGCCGAGACGAGCGCGGCGCGCACGCTGCGGCGCTGCTGTGCGAACGCACTCGCACAGGACACGGAGCAAGAGCGCTCGCGGCGGGCAGACTGAGCAGTAACAACGCAAAGCACCTCACCATTTTCGAGGAGCCAGCAAAAAGAATCCCCCTCCCGCACGATACATGGCATGCCGAGCGCGGGTCAGGCTGGGCACAAGCCGCGGGCGGCGCGGGCGCGGCGGCCGCGGCCGCGGCGGCGGCGGCGGCGAGGTCAAGAGCAACAAGAAGGACTGGGCGAGCGTCGCCCGCGGAGCCGCACGCTCCCCCTACGACGGCGGTCCACGCCTCGAGTCCAACGAGCCCTCGCTATACGAGGGGAGCGACGAGGAGCTCTAGGAACGGCCGCCGAGCCCTTCCCGCAGCGCATCCCTAGCAGCGCAGCGGGCAGGGCGGCTCGCGCAGCGCGCGCGATCGCGCAAGCAGCGCGCGCGAGCGAGCGAGCGAGCACACACACACACACACACACACACACACACACACACACACACACACACACACACACACACACACACACACACACACACACACACACACACACACACACACACACACACTCCTACCTCCCCAGAAATCCCGAGGAGGCGCACAGCGCCTAGATATGTCTTGTGTTGCTGTGTGCTGCACGCCCTGCGAGCGGGGCGGGGTGCGCACTGACCCTCTGTGTTCGTGTGCGTCGCCCATCTCTCCCTGGAGATGACTGCTCTATTTATTTATTTATTATGGACTGGCGCACCAATAAAAAGAAAAAAGCGTGCGAGAACGAATCGCGGACGCCTGACAAGCTCGCGTCACCTCCGTGAAGGTGATGGCATGCACAGCCCTGCCCTACGGGGTGTGGACCCTGAGTTGACCAGGGGTTGTGCGCCGGGCCCTCCTGCTCGGCTCCAGCGAGTAGACAAGTCTTGTCACTAACAGAGTAGAAGGACCTGACCTCGGGGCCGATGTGACCAAGCGCTGGTAGCGTGGTTTAACCTCACACCCATGGTCTCACAGTGTGCCGGCAGTCGCCGAGCAGTGTCGCTCACACAAGCCGCAGCACAAGTGACTGAGGTCCAGTGAGGGCGAGCCCATCGCTGTCACAGCTGTGGCAGCCGCACAGTAGGCTGTGTCAACTGTGCAGAGTGTGTGAGCAGCAGAGGAGCTGCTCTCCAGGCTTCTGTCGCAAAGAGCTGCATGCCACCGAAAGCGCTGTCGAGGTTCGCCGAGCGCGGCGCCCTGGGGTGTCGACGGGCCCCCGGGGGCGACGGGGGTGCTCTCGCGGGGGGTCCCCCCAGTCAAGGGGGTCTGGGGCGCAGCCCCAGGAAGCCCGCCGCAGGCGCCGATTTTTTCGGGCTTTTTTGACTGATTTTCATGAGGTGTTGCTACTATTTTGGGACCAGTTGAAGCCTAAAAATGGCTACAAATACAGCCACAACAGCGGCTAGTCGTGCGCTGCTACTGTGTGGCAGAGCCCATAGAGAGGGCTTTCAGGAGCACTATTCAGTTTGATCCAGCTCAACGTTGCGGAGTAGTAAGACTGTTCCGTTACCGTGAGCGGCCGGCGGCCGGCGGCGGCCGGTGCGGCACGCGGAGCACTCCGTGAGCTGTGACGGGTGCGGACGAGCGAATGAGAGGTTCCTTTTCAGCGAAAGATAGGCAGTCCTTATTCTTTAACAACACCTCTCCCACAGAGAGCGACCTCTCATTCATTCATCCGCACCCGTCACTGTTAGTG